AGAACTCAAGATAAAAGATACCCTTATTACTTATCATAGCTTAAATAATATTTTGAAACCACTTTTTCTACAACTTTATATACATTTTGTCTCAAGACAAGTATGTTTAACACAACAAGTGCATGTTTTAGCTTTTTGGGCATGGATTATTAGATGTTTTATATCATACTTGTTTTAACTACCACAGAAGATGCTATCATGTTTACAACAGCAATGATATGCACAGACCAACAATAACGCACAGCACAGGAGCTACAGGGGCTGGATGTTCATAGCAGGTGATGAATTGAAAAAAAGAAATAAGAAATTCAGATTATTTATAATAGCTTTCTAGGCTAAAGAAAGACAATATACAACAATGCTTACGTTATGTGATTTAAATACAAGTTACTAATTGTTTAGCTTACAACGCAAACGCAACACATTTCATGAATTTACATAAAAACATCAAATGCATACACAATGTTTATTACGTGGCTGTGGTCCTGGATCATAGGTCCTGGATGGATATCCTCGTGGATTCATCTTCCTATTATACACACATGCATTTCCAAACATTTGGACTACCTATGTTGCAAATGTATTATCTTTTCAATTTACACACGGCATCTATTGCACGTCTGTCCGTCCTGGGAGAGGGATCCCTCCTCTGTTGCTCTCCCTGAGGTTTCTCCCATTTTTCCCTTTAAACTGTGGGTTTTCTCCGGAAGTTTTTCCTTGTACGATGTGAGGGTCTAAGGACAGAGGGTGTCGTATTGTCATACTGATATTTTGTACAAACTGTAAAGTCCACTGAGACAAATGTAACATTTGTGATATTGGGCTATATAAATAAACATTGATTGATTGATTGATTGATTACAAAAAGCGCAAACTAACAAGCAAAATCTAAATCACAGAAAGTATCTGTGGACTTACTCAATTATGTTGCTGTGAGCCAAAACAATGGTAATGCAGAAACTTCACCCATTACTATGCAAACAAACATCAACAGTATGCACATAAATACATATTTAGATACACCCTGCTAGCTTTTTTCTTGAGGCACAATGCACATGACAGAACTTAAAAAGTATGTGTACGTAGAGCCGAGCGGCACTAACTGACAGTACAGATGCAGCTTGTGAGACAAACACACGTTTCTTTCCCAGTGCTGTTTGTTGTGAGTACCATTAAGTTAGTGCAACACACAATACGATAGTAATAGGACTGCCCCTGATGATGACAATACTCATTAGTACAGGTTATACTATTGTCCTATCCAGATGTGATGGAAGGAAACCTGTATTGCTGTGTGTTAATCCCAGAGATTCTCACTTACGCTGTCTGCCTCTAACTGACAGCATGGCCTCAATAAAGTGATGGCAGTCTGCTCAGTGTAATTTGTGACCTGATTAACAGGATCACTAGATGACTCATGCCCCGGCCACACGAGGACGAAAACGGTCGTTTGCGTTACTGTTTAGTGTCATATAGACCGTTCGGCCACACGAGGACGACCGAATACGGCACTAAACGACTGCGGAAACGATAACGGGTCCCAAGGTGGATAGAACGGCATACGCAACGCTCTGGGGGGTCCAGCGGCTCCGTGTGTACGCCCTATACAATCATTTTCTGATAATGATGAGGCAATAGCCCCGCCTCTCCCCACCTCTGCTGCTCACCCCCGCGTCAAAGTAAACTGCACACTGAATTCAGATTATTTATCTTTCTCTCGATATGGACATAAACGCGAGTGAAGTCTAATCTGACAGGACGGAGACACGCAGCTCTGCTCACCTGCAGCTCCTCCCGCTCTGATGCAGCAGTGAACGAAGCAAAACACACACTTCAAGTCAGATCATCACCCTTAGCTATTTTATAAATATGTTTATTTTTACTGTCGGCCGGGTCACTGACTGGATCAGCTGCTGCATGAGACAGACACTGACACTGTCAGAAGAGAGGGAGGAAACAGAGAGGCTCCGTGTATTTTATTATTATATTATATAGAGTCGTTATTCATTTGTTTTAAAGCTCAATAAATAACAAAGAAGACCTTTGACCGGCACTTTTATAATTTTGTCCGGAAGATTTAAACTTTAATACACGTTGACTGGCGAAAAACTCTGCCCGGTTCCCTCGGCCCCCACCGCGGAGAATAAACAGAAGGGCAACCATGACAACCATGCTTCTTCGCTGCTTTTGTGGAGGAAGTTACAGCGCCACGTACAGGCTCCTGCATATGTACTGCAGCTTCTCCAGCGGTTGGAGCTAAACGGAGCGGTCTCGTGTGGACAGATACTATCCGAATGACTATTGCGTGTGGACGGAAGCTTTTTTGCGATTGCGTTTGCGTTAATCCTATAAATTTAGCCGTTTTCGTCCTCGTGTGGCCGGGGCATCAATCATGAGGTGTTGTCAACTCACACACATATGTCACAAAAGCGCTCCAACTGCCATGTTCACAGATACACTTTTTATGTTAGGCCTATATCTATATCCTTTTCTACGTTTGAGACAACAAATACAAAAACAGATGACCCTGCAAGCTACTGAGAATGGTGGGAAGGGCTCCAATGGTGTGTCTACTCCTAAATGTTTTTTCATTCCCAGCCCTAAAATTCTTGCCCCCAGACATTTCCCCCCCTTACCACAGTTTAATCAGTCCAAAGGTTGCTTTCATAGACATTTGGTCTGCGTGCAGACATTACCAAATGGAGGAAAAGAAGATTTTGGTTAGTGTGACCTAAAAGTACATGTGGAAATGTTGCACAAGCACCGGTTCCAGGACACTAACAGTAAACTTTAGGGCTTCATGAGGACCGCATATCTGTGGGTTTGACTTAATATCTTTTCCAGGTCTTGAGTCTACAATCAAGATGGCAGTCAAATTTCTTGCACGATGGGGTTTCCATTCAGATCTTTTGCAGGCTCGGTGAATGAAGTCATGTTTTCCAATAATTTTAATGATCAAAAACGAAAAAGCCTAGCCCTTCCCGAATCGGTCAAAAAAGTTGTAATTAGTTTAAGCGCCAAATACGTATGATGACATAAATATGATCGTTTTCATACGTCGTAGTTTTCCCTATGGTCCTGCCCTGAATCTGAACTTGTTCTAGCAGGCGTCGCTTCCTTTGCAGACCTGTCAGTCAGGAAGTGAGCCCACACTTGGGGGCTAATTCATTTTCAACAGATGTTTATCAGCTTGTTCAAAATCACAAGATCCCAAAACACTTGCATGTATTACATAAAATACCCGAATTAGATTGTTCCTCTTGACTCCAGTCATTTCCTTTTGTTTAATGTGTTGTCTCTGTTCCACCAAATGTCTGTTTCCACCCTTTCCTTCACCCCTCTCCTTCTCCTCCATTTGTCATGTCTATCTTTCGCTATGTGTAGACTTTCTGTTATCATTACTGTGGGCCATTGTGGCCTAACCCCCACATTTACAAGGCTTCACAAAAGGACAAGGATAATGATTGTTATTGGTCACCCACAAGATACAGTGCAGTGTACGGGCCTTGGTGACTTTGTGTCATGTGTATCACTGCATCTGGCTATTTCTCTTCCCTTCTTCCCATAAGGAAATGCCACGGTCAGTTTTACTGTTTCATCAACTTATGTTCCTGTACTGTGCAGTTCAGTGTGCACAACACGTCTTGAGACAGGCATTAGCACAAACCACAACTTTCCCTGACTTTTCTCAAGCAAATAAACTACACTTGATTTGAACATGATCAAAGCTAATGGACAATTAACACCAAGATGTTCTTAACAATTCAAGGTTCAAGGCTTTTATTTGTCATACGTACATAGCTACAGTGTATGTTATGTCGATGAAAATCTTAGGTCCCAGGCTCCATTATGACCTAACACCAAAAACCAACATGTGACATTGTAGGGTCTACATTTATATTCCCTTTTTATCTTAGGTTCTTTATCTCTGCACATTGCAAATTCTTTTTGCACTTCCTACTTTGAACCTTGGCAGAGTCCTTGGACAATCTTGCAAAACTCAGCACGTAACTAACACTTGTAAATGGGCACGGCTCTTCCACTTTTACAGATACATATATTTAATTTGGTTTTTTATGTATCTTGTAACGGCAGTTATCGGGTCTGTCTTTGTGTTTTAAAAGAGTGTGGCACTCTAACCCACTCAACCCTGTTACTCATATTATCAGAATAAAGCATATTAATTTCAAAGTTAACTTTCTTTCATTAAATATCCAAGTTTGTCCTTGCCTTGAAAGTAGCATTACATGCTACATCTAGCATTAATTCCTGAGGTTAAAGCTCAAATTAGCATTGATTTTCAACCCTGTTACTTTCAACCCTGTTAATATAATAGGGGTCATTCTTGGAAAATATACATGTGATGCCTTAGCTGGGCAAATCACTTTTTTTGATGGTTTATTATCTGTTTTTCCTAAATACACAAAAAATAAAAGGTTAATTTTTCAAAAATGTTGGTGTCTAAATTGTCCTCCAATTCTGGAATGACCCAGTTAGTGAGATATTAGCCTTACCTATCCTGAGCCACACCCGCTGTCGGGTGGTCATCATCATAAAGTGAAGGTAGTTCTTAGCATACAAATACTTGTTAAGGCGGTGACTAGTGATTTTTCTACTAATTTGATTGAACGTGGCACCTGAGAATGTTAAAAATGTATGCTTTAAAAATGAATGAAATGTGGAATCTATAATCAGTTAAACGGTTTCAAGTATTTTAATGTCAATTTGGAACATATTTCTCTACATACTCTCAGCCTGGCAAGAGCCATAACCTGGAAAAAGGATCACACAAGTTTTCAGATGAGAAGTAGGATACACTGGGGCTAGACCTGGGCTAGCCAGAGGTTACGAGATAGCCGGCTGTATATCTGGTCTCACCACGATGCAATGAATAGCCCTGAAGGTTTTTTTATTCGTATTATTTATTTACGTAGATGCATGTTCGGTTTAACTCGCTGTGTTACCTTAAGCTATCTTCCGCGTGTAGGCTACGCAGTAACTGTTGTACAGCAGTCTGTCTTTCTTCCCCACCATGTGGATGAGGTGACGAGCCTAAACCGGTTCATACGTGGATAGGGGGCCGGTTTCAGCTGGCTGCGTTGTCGTAGTAACCAGCTCTCTATAAATACTGGCTGACTCCTTTGCCGGCTTCCACTCCAGTTTCAGTCCTGACAGAGGCGGCACCTTCAGTACGGCTTAATTTTTTTATCCCAGCATTCTGGTCTAATGGACACACTCTTTGTAAATGCTTTTTAAGGTAAGTGAAAGATTTTCGATGTTTAACAACGTGAAATGTGAAATTTCATTCGCTTTTTAACTAACGGTAGCACACGTTAACTAACAGGCTAAGGTTATGGCGGCTTAAACAAGGACAATGAAAAATTGTCTTCCTAGGCGTAACGGTGTTGGTATTTTTGGTTTATCAAGTAACAATTTATTTAAATTGAATTGCTGCTGAGTTTAGTTGTAAATGTTACTTACCATTACGACGTGGACAGTGTGACAGGCGGCCTTTTGGCGGACGTTATCTAGGAATAGTTATCTACTTTGGTGTTAATCTTGCTATCTAACCGGTTCGACATGTGTCTGTTATTTCGAACTTTTACTGCTTCGGTGTCTTCACTATACATTAAATATGTTTTAACATTGGCTGCGTTGACTTTGCGAAACCACGTTTAGTAGTAACTTTCATGCTAAATTACCTCATGGCAAGCAGAGCTCTAAACGGAACCGGCATGCCGACGTCAGCGTTAGTTGTAAGTCACTGATTGGTCAATTTTCGTGCCATTCTTTTACGTTGAAGGCAGATCTTCTTTATGATAGGATTACATCTGAAACTGGGCGGGGTTTAAACACTTTCAATTACTTCTGTGCAGATGGTGTCGTAGTACGGTTAGTCATGACGTTGTCGTAAAATAGTGTATGTCTTGGCTATAAATTAGGTTCGTTTTATAGAATAATACGTAACTTTGATGTTTTTAATTCATAACTATAATTAAAATTCAGTAGTAAGGATAAGATTACATTTATATTGTAATTTGAGGTTTATTTTAGTCTTTAACAAACAAAATGTGAGTCCATAGAAAGCAACGTTTTTACTTTCCAGGCGTATTCCCATCAGAAAATGTTTTGTATGTTAAAATCCTGTCAAATGCTCTTGTTACAGAATAATCAGTCTTGTAAGACACACACTGGCTCCTCAGCAGGCCCTGGCCTTGAGTCTTATTTGAAGGGATTTAACTTCACCGGTGAACCGCCTTGGCTGCTCTGTACCTGAATAACTGCACCAATCAAATTTCATCTCTTTCATATCCAAGTAAGTATCTAACTGTCAGCTGTTTGAACTCTATAAAATACTGCTTTGTATCAGATAATACAGAAACAAAAGTGTCTTTCAGTCAAATTCCATGCTTTGAGAATCACTTACACTTTTTTGAGTTGTGAGTGAGGAACAAATAGTCTTTTGCAATCAAGGACACAAAATACACTTTGTCCTCAAAGCTGAGTGTAATCTCAATATGTTCTCCGCTCCCTCTTTCAGTTTCCTCGTGACTAATCAAAAGGATTTATTGTGAGCATGGAAACTGCCACCGAGTTTGACTTCTCTTTCCTTGAGGAGGGCTTCTCTGCACGGGATATCGTCGAGCAGAAGATCAATGGGTCATCCATGACGGTGAGTGTCCTGTGTTGACTTGTTCGGGGGATATGCAGATGGCCTCATTTGTTAAGTGATGAATGTGAACAGGATGCAACAGTGTTGCATCCTGTTCACATTCACCACTTAATTTTGACATTCCAACACCAGTCACCTTGTTCAGGTGACTGGTGTTGGAATGTCAAAATTGTATTCCCTTTACACAATTCTAAAGAACACAGGGGTGTTAATAGGCATGGGACAATAGGATATTGCCATGTGGCGATTATCTTGTCATAAAATGTGTATCACATTTTATTTTAGCATGTGTTTGTTTAGGTGTTGTGTAATATTCAATTTTTTGAAATAGTTTTTGTTGAACACATTTTTTCATCTGTTCCATCGCAGGATGACAGGGATGCCTTCTACGTCTGCGACTTGGGGGATGTCTTCAAGAAGCACCTGCGCTGGGTGAGGGCCCTGCCACGCGTCACTCCCTTCTACGCCGTCAAATGCAACGACAGTCAGGCTGTAGTCATGGTACTGGCCTCCCTGGGAGCTGGCTTCGACTGTGCAAGCAAGGTGTGTGTTGTAATCTTCCATAGATGTTCTCTACTGTTCAAAGCTCTCTTGATGATAAGCTGAAATAGCATTGGCAGCTTGAGTTTTTAAATTGCCACTTATTTTTTGCTGACTGTTGGCATTGTCCCCCTCTAGACGGAGATTCATATGGTTCAGTCTCTGGGAGTGGATCCAAGCAGAATCATCTATGCCAACCCCTGCAAGCAAGTTTCCCAGATCAAGTACGCATCTGCCCACGGGGTCCGGATGATGACCTTTGATAGCGAGGTGGAACTCATGAAAGTGGCCCGCTGTCATGAAAATGCCAAGTGAGATTTCTTTCCATTTTAAATATAAAGACTGAACAGGCATTTTGATTTTCTATATCCAATATTTATTCCTCTAACTCTATTTTTGTGCCCAGGCTGGTGCTGCGTATTGCCACAGATGACTCTAAGGCTGTGTGTCGCCTGAGCGTGAAGTTTGGTGTGACACTCAAAGCGTGTCGAGGCCTCCTGGAGAAAGCTAAGGAACTGGGGCTGGATGTGATTGGCGTCAGCTTCCATGTTGGCAGTGGCTGCACCGATGCCCAGACCTACTCTCAGGCGATCGCTGATGCCCGTTATGTCTTCGATATAGGGGTGAGTTGTGACAACTGCTTTAAAAAATATTTAATTTTGTACCCATCAAAGTTGTCTTAAACTGAATTTTGTTACCATCTAGGCTGAGGTGGGCTTCAACATGGACCTGCTCGACATCGGAGGTGGATTTCCTGGTTCAGATGATACTGAACTCAAATTCGAAGAGGTATCTTGAATTGTATTTGTCTTCTTTGGACATTAGGCTGCAACATCAGTAGAACTAGCACAAGATAATCCTTTTTACATTATAATAATCAATGGACACTTCCCCCCCCCCCCCCTTGCTAGATCACTGCAGTCATCAGCCCAGCCCTGGATAAGTATTTCCCCGCTGACACTGGCATTAAGATCATTTCTGAGCCAGGACGATTTTATGTGGCTTCTGCTTACACACTGGTTGTCAACATCATCGCCAAGAAGGTCATCATGGACGAGGAATCTGCCTCTGACGGTAACAGCCTTCATTTAGTATACTCGTTTATTCTGTTATAGAGCTGCAAACCGTTAGGCAACTAATCTATAAGTCGACTATTTTGATAAATAAAGGATGGACATTTTTCCTGACATTTTATAGACCAAGCATTTAAATCAAGAAAACAATTAATAGAAGGATTAATAACGATAATAATGCTCAACTGCACAAATATTGTTAAGGCAGATTGGTAACATTTCTCAGTACTTAAATTATTTCTACTTTTCTACAGAGGAAGACGAGGGGACCACAGATAGGACCCTGATGTACTACGTAAACGATGGCGTTTATGGATCCTTCAATTGTATACTCTATGACCATGCTCACTGTTTGCCAACACTACATAAGGTAAGTGACTCAAGATTTGAAAACGTGGCAAATTATCAGCATAACTATGAGTAATTGAAAAGTGGATACTAATGATTTGTGTCCACCCCCTTCTCAATAGAAGCCAAAGCCAGATCAGGTCAGATACCCCTGCAGTATCTGGGGCCCGACATGTGATGGACTTGATCGCATCGTCGAGCAGTGCTACCTGCCTGACCTGCAGGTAGGCGACTGGCTGATCTTTGATAACATGGGGGCCTACACCGTGGCCGCTGCCTCCACCTTCAATGGCTTCCAGCGACCCGACATTTATTACGTCATGTCTCGCACTGCCTGGTGAGTAGTCCCCAAAGCTCCTGATGGAACACTTGTCTCATTGTGAGGAAGAAGGCAATATAACTTTTCTCTGTTTCGTCTCCTACAGGCAACACGTGCAGCAGATCTGTTCCCAGGGCATGCCAGCTCCTGCGGAGGAGTCCTCCCTGTTGGAGGTGCCGGCCTGCTGTGGACGAGAGAGCAGCTTGGAGATGCCCACTAAGCCCTGCCAGGCCCCTGTGGTGTAAACGCATACCGTACATCACAGCCATGTTCTCCTGATCTAGCATCTCTTTGTTATTATTAATTATTGGAGAAGTTTCTGTCTTTTCTTTTTCTTTCTTCTCCCCATATGTCATGATATATTTTGAAGGCCAGTTACTTGACAGGAGAACGAGAGGGGCATGTTGTTGCACAAACATCTGTGTTCTGTACAGAAGTGAGGATCAACCCCAGATAAAATGAGGCTGAATCACAGTGTCTCTGTGTATTCCAGGCAGAGTCACAGGACTACTCTGTACTCAGAAATTGTTGCTGCAGTATTCCGCCCTTCATTTTGGGAAAGTGACTTAAGAACTTCAGTACTGTTAGTTTATGAATAAACTATTAGTGGAACTGATATTGTGTAAGGACTCGCAACACTTGAAACTGTAGCCAAAGTCCAAGAGGTAAGGGGTCGCTAATGCTATTAATTTAAAGTGGACCTATCATGCTATATTTGAAACATATTGTAGGGCCATACCTATATAAAACATGTCTGTGAAGTTTTTTATGCATTTTAGCCATGCCTCATTTTGCTCTTTTCCAGCCCTGTTTTTGCAGGGGCTGATTCTGCTTTTGTGGCAGACTACAGCGCCACTTACAGGCCTGGCATATGTACTACAGCGCTTTTGAGCGGTCGCTCTTTCCCCTGATAGGTGGAGAGTTGCCCATATAGGCGGGGCCCCCCTTTTCTGACATCAGAAAAATTCAAATAATAATCAGCTCCGTTGCAGCCCCGTTTTTAGAGATTTGGGTATGGAGGAAAAGAGAGGGTTGTGTTTTCTGACACTTGGTGAGTTCCCTGGAACACCGGGGACACATTCATGTATAAAAGACGTACAAAAGAGCATTTTGCATGATAGGTCCCCTTTAAGACTTCAAAATTGTAACTTGCAAAGAGGTGGTTGGAGGGGCAATTTAAATCCTCATTAAATGGCTGCTTTGTTTATATTTATCCTTTCCATGATCTCTAGTTCTGTACAGAACCTATCAAGTGTTAATCCTGAAGATATTAACATGTAAAGTAACCTTTTGTTTACTTTTAGGTACACACAGAGCATTATAGACTCATAACATTTCACCTACCTTTGTCAAAGGTCGCTTCTCATTTGTCGTGGTCACCCAACACTCACAGGTGCCACCAAATGCACATCTTCAAGATGAACACTTAAAACACAGGGACTCAAGAAGCATACTGAACCTCTTCTCCTTATTTTATTTTCAGTTTTATTTTTTTGTTGTAACCTGTAGGCGTGAAGAAGTCTGTTAATTATATGAATAAGAACCAGTGTTAAAGAATACATTTGAGAAATGGATACGAAAGAGACGGGATTGCATATTCATAGCGCTTTCCTATGGAAACTTTTTCAAGTTTTGTATTTTTTTAATAAATAAAAACATTGGATGCAGAGCCAAATGAGTTGTGTGTTTTTCTACATGTGGGACAAAATAAATCAGAACTACTTTTATGAATCCTAAAACATTCTTCAGAGGATGTTTCAAGAGCTCCATCTAGTGTTTGCAGCAGGAACTGTGATGTTTCATCTGGCCAAACTTCTAATAACAGCTGTTTCATAATATAATACATGTTATTTATATAGAGCTTTTCCTGATGCCCACAGCGACTCATTAGTCGTTTTTCTTTTCAAATCCTAAAAAAATAATTGTACTTTGTTCCAGAAAGTTAGCCTAAAGGGGAGTTGGTTACCTTCTAAGTAACATGAGGATACATGCATATATAATTATACTTTCACTAGTTATATTAGACATAGAATTACCTTTACAACATGTTTACTAGAAACAAATTTAAATAAACAATTTATGAGTGACATTACACACCCATAACTATAATTGACACAACTAAATACATTATGTTTAGCACTGCACCATAGCCCATTCAGGCTTTTTCATTCCAACTGGGATTTTGTTATGTGGTTGAATATGATTTGTATTCTGTAGCTGATACCTTTGTCTGAAGTGTTTCGGGGAAACTTCTGGAATATCGGTGCTTAAATCTTTGTGTTTGTCTTCCATGTTGGTGCCGGACCATTCTGCACAGTACATATTACATTGAGACATTTTCAAGCTACAAAAGTGTGACAGTGTTCCGAAATAAGTTCATTTATTCACAGTATACAGCACTTCATGACGAAACATTGCTCAAAAAGTGTAACAGACATTAACAATCTCATGTTCACTACTCATACCTAAATGACAATATTAACAAGAGTATAAACAACATTTTATTTAAATATAGTAGGCTACGTTATAGGTACATGTAATACATTTAACTTGTTTAAAAAAATATATGAATCTTAGTGTGGAAAAAAGTTTAACTGGGATGATTTAAAGCTCTATAGCAGACAGCTGCTATAGGGATAGCAGAACGTTGCTAAGGACAATCTGATCAAGGGACCATATGCACTCATGTATATCTGCATCAAAAAACACATTGTTGTTGAATTGTTTCTGTCCGTTCGCTCCATCGGAAAAATCCATTGAATATGTATTTTTTTTAAATCATTTTTATATTTTAAGGAGAGCACACAACTTTGGATTCATGGTTCCTAAAGTGTCCAAAGTGAAGAACAGAACAAAAAACAATTCAAGGAAATAGGTTAAAAGATAAAAGGACAGAGAAATCAACAATAAAGAGAACAGCAGAAGAACACCGACAGGAATTAAACACTAGGCGAATAGCAGAAAAAGACAGGAAGTCAACACCAAGGGAACAGCAGAAGAAGACAGACAGGAATCAAACACTAAGGGAACAGCAGAAGAAGAAAAAGTAAACACAAAGGGGAACAACAGAAAAAGACAGACAAGAAGTAAACACTAAGGGAACAGCAGAAGAAGAAAGACAGGAAGTAAACACTAAGGGAACAGCAGAAGAAGAAAGACAGGAAGTAAACACTAAGGGAACAGCAGAAGAAAACAGTCAGGAAGTAAACACTTAAGGGAACAACGGTGTGGGCTCTCGCAGTGTTTGAGTCGGTTTATAGAAGGAAAATGTAAATGGACTTGCTCAAAATGTTGCTAGAATAATGGAACATTTTATCATAGCAGAAGCAATGCAAACATTATTTATTTAATTAAACATGTTTTAATCAATACTTTGGGTCAAACTATTGATTTATATGTTAAGCAGCCGTCTGATAGGCTACATATTAAAACGATGCTATGATTTCACCACAGGAAGCTGTATTCTTGTGAACCAAATCATTTATGGATGGACGATCATGAGGTCACCACAGGCATGTTTGTCTGCTCGTAATGATTCCTGATGTACTCAGTAATTGCTTTCTCATTATTAATTTCTTTCCTGAACAACATAATGTAACATTTTGGGGCCAAGTGACAGCCGAGGATGCCGTAGCAAGAAATCAGAATGGCTATGCTTTCAATGGCTTGTGTGTAACTCCCGATCAAATTGATATAAATGGGGATGAAGAAAATCCAAACGATTAAAAATAGCAGCATACTGATGCTGATTAAATTTGCATTTGTATACAGATCTGGCAACTTTTTACCTTTGAAAGCAAACAGGAAACAACTAAGTGCCAAGAAGGCATTGTATCCTACCGTGGTAATGAAGAATGCATTGGAGCCCTTGTCACAATAAGTGAGGATGGTATTGCTTAATATGATTTCTTTAGGATGTGGGCCATAACAGATCATCCATATTACACACTGGATGACCTGGAACCCAGAGACGATTGTCACAACAGCCAGTGGCTGATTGACATTCTTTATCCAGGACCTCTTCTTCAGGTCAAAGTTAAAGCCCACTAAGATTTGGAGCAGGTTTGCCAGGATGCACGAGATGCAGAGGGAGGAAGCAATGCCGAAGACTGGCAGTCGCACCTTACAGAAAGTGTGATTTGTTTTTCCCGTAAAGCTTAATGAAAGGCAGAAACAGGCCAGCAAGGAAAAAAGCTCCACGAAACTCAAGTAACCCCCGACCGCCTTCACAATGGGAGTTTTCCGATAGATTGTAAACACAACAGCAAAACCAATGGTGACAATTATACCAAATAATTCCAATACACTCAAAAAGACAATGAAAGGGTGTGACCGCTTTAGGAAATCATTATTTTTCAACAAACACTTATCCCTATTCTCAGATGAATATTCCTTTGTCCTGCAGCATTTACATTCCTCTCCTAAAGAAGGTAAAAAAAAATAATAAATGCAAATGTATTTGCATGAGGAAAGAATAGTATCATTATGATGAAAACACTCCATTGAAAAGGGTTATGTGAGAGGTTCTTGAAAACAAATTGTTTTGCTTTACATAAATGAATAAATGGCAAACCCCAGCATCTGTATCCCTTTACCGTGCAACAGTGTGACAGAAGAGTTTGGAATATTTGCAAATTCATGCAAATTCTTGCAAAATTGTCTTCAGACATTTGGGAAAACAAAACATTGACATGATATTATTTAATTGAGTTCCTGTTAAAAGAGTTTAAATTGTGCACTTTTTAGTTTTAATCCATTTTGAATGCAGAATGTAATAATTAAACTCTTTTTCAGATTATAACTTAAACAAAAAATATTTGTTTCCTAAAAAGCTTATTAAAAGTTATTAAAACATTTTTCAAGGAAGATCGAAGAACTGAGATTCTTATCAGACTTGAATATTTCGAGTTGTAGATGCAGAAAAGGCATGTATCTTTACATTAAAACGTTCAGTTCTTGTAAACCAACAATGGTATTTTATTTGCAATTGTAAAGACCTAAGAACTGGACTGATCCTTAGTCTTGTTGGGGACTCTAACAGCCACAGTCTGCACGTTTTTTACATTCTCCCGAAACAGAAGTCCTTTAATAATTCATATTTTCTTAATATTAAAGTAGGTCTAAGTCCATTATTACACCAATATTTCAGACCAGGTGTGTGGTCTGTAACCTCAGAGAATAAGGCTGAGCAATGACTATTAATCATTCTTTAATCTTTTTAGTTTTATCTTTATTCACTGGAGAACAAAAGAAGACATTTATGTATCCTTTCTGAGTAACCCATTGGCTTGTGAGTTTGTCAATTTGGCCATTGCCATCTTAGTTTTTGAGTTGTTGCCATTTTAGTGTTTGGAACCAGAAGTGACACCAAAGGGTGGAGCTAAATAAAAACAAAAGCTAAACAAGACAGTTTTAGGCGACACACACAATATTTTCAGAACTAAGGGGAAGTACATTTTAAGCTTTATATTCATGCAGCCTACATTTCAACATAGCATGAAGAACCGAGGGGCTCTAAATGCAATTAACAAACCATTTTACAAATGAATTATTCCAAATGAAATTCAATCTACCACTAACAAATGCAGAGCAGAGTAGAACACAGTTGGTATGTGTAAGAAAGGAAAGTAATATCAAACTGTGTTTCTGGAAATGCGATTATATCCTCAGTTATTTATCCATAATTAGGGTCCTCTTAGCGGATAAACATTTAAACATCTGAGCTTGGGGTTATTTCATACAAGAAGAAACACTTACCATCAGAATACTCTCCGTCTGCACATGGAACGCAGTCATTGCAGCACACTTTGCCTTTGTTCTGCTTTTTCAACTCCTGCCCCGGTTTACAAGTTTTAGAGCAATTGAAGGCTGTTACCTGTAAACGGAAAAACCCAATTAGTGCAAAAATCATAACCAATTTTGGGGAAAAAAATTATAATGACATTCTGACCTTACCGACCTTATTTCTAACAAGATAATGTGGGACTGTGATATTTCCTTCTGGCTCGTATTCTCCAATTTTTGTTATGCGTGTGCTCTCCTTGGATTGAGTCATGTTCCAATATAGAATGTCATATCCTAAAAAAGGGTCTCCATTGGAGTCAAATTGAATATGTGTGCCGTTCACAGTGAAGTTAACTTTCTTGATTTCCATAAGAAGCTGTAGAGATAAACATAAACAGAACTACATTGATGTTACATAAAATACACAAGTTTGTTATTTCCTCTATGACTACACATAATAAAACAGGAAATAATTCATATAGGAGACCATTTCCAAAATATTTCGAAAGGTATATAAAAAAAGAATGAGTCCTTAACCTCGGAAATTAGTTCGCATTTTTTTTTCACTTCTGGTCCCCGAAGGGGATTACATTCCTAAAATGAGGTCTTTGGTTAACATAACCTTAAAGGAGTTTACAGTTTGTTCCAAGGCAGAAAATATATCACTTTTCTTGTAAGTTTTGAAACTTTCACTAGTGTTGAAAAAATTGGTTGCTAACAAGTGTCTAAATTAGATTACCAATGATGTGTCGGCAAACACAGGGAAACGCAATAACCCAGTGATGGTGACGTTAAATCCATTCAATCATATAGTTTGTTTTTAGGCCATTAGCAATCTGGCGTTTCGTCTGCTTTTTGTAGAGGGAACCAACGTAATGCTATCTTTAGAGTTGGTGTACAAAATCACGTCCTTCATCCAGAACTCTATAAGGCTACCATCAGCAAACAATCTATTTTGTTTAGTGTAGGAAATGGAGACCCGAGGAAACTGCTAGCATTTCTCAGTCAAACTGAAACAAAATCTGTCTGCAGCCACTCTAAAGCCAATACAATATTTCACATTAGTGTAATCAAGACTAAGTTACATTAAGTGTACAATACATTATGGTTTTACAGGGGAATTATATGCAGACATTTATTGGCCAGGGGTAACTTCCTGAAGTTTCTATTGTTATCCTTCTACTGTTCTCAACCTGATAAATAATGACAAAAACTATAAACAAGTTTTTTAATGTAGGGATTAAACAAAGGTGATGTAACCTGTTAATCAGTGAAATGTAGAAGTGCTATTGGGATGATCTTGTTTGGAGAGCCAGGCTAGCTTTTCCTTGTGTTTCCAGTCTCTATGCTAGGCTAAGCTAACTAGCAAGAGTTGGCTGTATCCTTTAACCCAGTGGTTCTCAACTGATCAGGCCTCTGGACCCACTTTTTCCTTTGTCAATAAATCGCGACCCGAAATTTTGAACCACTCAAATCTATTCAACAAAAAATAGTGCTGTAATACGCTTTTCAGCATACATTATTAATTAAAGTGAAACTGTATAACATAAAAAGGCACACATGCTGAAAACCCAACCCCAGAAGGGGGGTCTGGGGGGATTCTCCCCCACAGGAGATTTCTAGAAATACTAACATATAAACTACGCATTCTGGTACACTCTGAGAAGAAAATAAAGAAATCTATTGCTACCCGACATATGAATAACATGTTATGCCATTGTTTGTTTTTCACTTTGTTCTGACAGCTGAACTTGCCGGTGTGACTAAAGACCGAAGGGCGCCGGAGGGCGCCGGAGGGCGCGCTGGATGGACGTAATCGGCACTTGGGGTCCATGAGCCCTCCCCTCACTGCACAGGTAATCACTCTGCATCGTGACCCACAGCAAAACAGTCCCACCCTCGCATTCCCACAACACCCCCTCATGCTCCCAGTTGGCTTGAGAGCTGCTTCACCAGACCCTAAAGTGAGATAGGTATCTCTAGATAGCTTTGGGCACATGTCATCAATTACCTACTAGCAATTGATACTCCATGTATAGTCTTGGAAGGTATATTGCGCATAATCAGCGCAATCATCCCGCATAATCAGGGATGTATATATGCATATGTAAAGATTGGTATCATCCTCCGGCCCCATCCAGCCCCATCCAGCGCCCTCCGGCGCCTTCCGGCGCGCCCTTCGGTCTTTAGTCACACCCGAACTTGCTGCTCCTTACAGAGAGAAGAGCAAAGAGGAGAGAGTCTGAATTACTTTAAATTGTGGATAAGGGTAGATCTATGGGGTAGATAGCTCCCATTGTTCTGTGACCTGCCAATCATCAAACCGGGGGTCATATTTCATTATGTGTTCATTTGTATCTGAAGTTGTACCCATGGATGTATAAAGAATAGTTGACTTCCGGCAACAATCTTGATTCTGATTGTCCAGAAGACTCGAAAAAACATCAGCAAAGATGTTTAATTGAGAAGATGATCACTACGTGACAGAAGTTTTCAAAACCGTTTATGGTCTCCGCCCGGTACTTCCAGTCCAACGCCGACTGCATGCACAGCGTTAGAAAATCGGGCCTTCAAAATAAAAGTTTGACTTTTTTCCCAATAACAAAAAATCTTTTTTTCAAGTTTTTTCTTCTTCACTCACACATCTGCGACCCAGTCGAAACGACCCACCAGTTGAGAACCACTGCTTTAAAAACGCATAGATTGGTTTAAATCTTCTCATTAAGCTCTGCAAGTAATCATCTTTATAGACATAATGTACATTTGCAATGCAAAAATATATAAGCAAAAATAACTCTACTGTACCTCCAAGGCTGTAAAGTTAGTGCTTCTTTTACACTGGCGGTGGTCACACTTTAGCAGGCTCCTTAGACCCTCAACAATGACTTCAACAGCTAAGTAAGTATTGTATGATGCATCCTGGTCAATGTAATTGGTCAAGTCCATTGGGTCCAGACACTTGAGGATCTTTTTGGCTGTTTTCTTTAGGGGGAAGTTGCTTTCTCTGTTCTCCTCAGACTTAGTGGGACAAAATTGAGTCATGTAATTATTGAGGATGGCGTTAGTGGTCCCGTTGAACATTGACGAAATGACATAGTCTTTAAACCCAGGCACCTCATTCCTTTTCGAGATGAATCCAAAAACTTCCCCTGCCTTCTCAATGCCTGACAGTGAAGAGAGTTTTTCAGAGGTAGACCATGTATCAGAGGCAATCCAAGTTCTGTTGAGAGAGTATTTAACAGCGGCCCCAATGATGGCAGCGACGTTGGATTGCTTGGTGAACAAGATGATGGCCTCAGCTGTGGAATTGTTGATTTTTCTCACCAGCTCATCCAGACAGTCATTGGCCTTTGAATTGTTCTGGGAAAAGTAGCCAGGCAGGATGTCACTGAATTCAATGCAGATATCCTTCATTTCATCGAAAATATCCTTGAGGGTATCACTACCATACTTCCCATACTCATCATCACTTCCCACAATACCCACCGTTTTCCAATTAAACTTCTTCACCAGCTCAGCAATGGCCTTTGTCTGATGTTTATCACTAGGAATCGTTCGCAGAAAAGTGGGGAACTTCAACTTCCTGCTGAGAAGCTCGCTTGTGGCAGAGTAGCTAATCTGTGACAAACAGGAATACATCTGGTTGAAATTGTACTGCATTACTCATCAGTAATCTTGAAAATGTCAAAAGTACAGCAAAGACAAACCTGAGCAACTGATGACAGAGCAAGAACACGTGCAACAGCTATTGATACTTCAGAACTTCCTGCTCCTATCACTGCCTTTGTTTTGGGTTCAGCTAGCAAACAGCTGTGAGGGTCTGAATGGTTCTTCAGCAACTCGTGCGTCGCTCTGATGGCAAAGCTCACATCTGCACAAGTGTCATAGATGTCAAATCCTATGGTGTAGTTGGGTAGAGGCCTTGGTGTGCGCTTGTTTATTTCTCTGATGGCGTATATCATCACTTGTGTGCGAAGAAACTGTCGGATTTCATATCTGCAACAATTGACAAAGGATAAATAGAATTTCCTAAATGGTTCATTTATACTACAGTCATGTAAATCAGTGGATGCCCAACTTTCTTTCAGACATACCCTGACAGAAGAGCCCTATCATCAAGACCACGCATCAGCTTACTAACGTGTTCATTTGGTTTTTAACAATAACTGGATATAATTAAACACTTTAACTCCAAGACACTTCGCAAAAATATTTCCGTACAATTTTTAAAGAATTTTACACAACTGTTACAATATATTATTCATATAATTCAAGTGGCAATGTTTGGATTGGTTTAGTCAAGTTACCATTTGAACTGCTAGTAAAAGAAGCAATACATTTTACCATTTTAACCATTTATCTATACCCTAAAATGTGCTAAATACATGTACAAGCTATTGTTGTTGTATTATTTTGGATGTACACTTTCTAATCAAATCGTCATTACATATTTTTCAAATCCTTTCAATCTTCAGCTGCACATTTCCGAAATAACATACATTATATTATTGAATTACAGCTGGTAAAACAGGAGCTTATTTTAATTTGACTATACTGCTGGATAGCTTGTTAATTTCAGAAAGCTATCAATAATATCAATATGATTGTGAAGTTTTATCTTAAACTATAATTATACATGACAACATTTTCATTGATTATATTAAAAGAGAGTAAAAAGTACAATATTCATCTTGGAATTGTATTGGTGTAGAAATATAACGAACCAGGAAATAGTGCGTTAAAATTGTACTTTAGTACAGTACTTGAGTTAATGTACCTAGTTACTTTCAGAATCACAGATGTAAATGGACTAATATCATAAGAGCATACTTACTGAGTACAAGAGAGTGGTCCAGGCGCTGTGCTCCTATTGGTTTTCACATGAATAGGGAAAAGTCCTCCGATGATTATATCCCCAGGAGATTCTGCATGTAGAACACTAGGCTCTCCTGACCAAGGGAGAAATACACAGACGATACTCGCTAATAACCATAATAAAAACATTGTGGATACACAGGGCTTAAACACATGACATTATCTGTTCCTCTCTCTGGACTATTAAAGGGTTTCTGGACAACAGATGTAATGTAACTGAGTCTTGTAGGACGTCAGTATGGATTATTTGCATTGTCAGATGGAATCTGCAACTTCATGCAAAATACTTACTTAGAAAAAGGTTGGTATAACAACAACAAGGTGGTTTACTCGTAACCCGAGATAAAACAGGTTCTGTATTTGACTACTCTTTGAATAGTGGAATGGCTCTTGTATTTAGGTCACGCACCCAAACTGTGGTGCAGTTTGCTAAAGAATCCAAGAGAGGGCAACATGCTACATGGTGATTATGCTTTCTGAGTATCAGCTGCCCTAGAATTAATCAAGTTTGTCTTTATAGTTCTATGGTATTTGTTCAGGTCCCACTGCGAGAGTAATATCGAGATAATACTTTATATAAATCCTTTTTATTTAATATATTATTACTTATTTTTGCAAATGTATTCAGGTCCACATATTATTATAATCCACATTTATTATTGTCCTAACAGTCCTGAAAATGTTATCTCTGCAGTGTCAAAGGTCAATAATGAAATTCCTAGCTTCTTGTTAACAACAAAATAATAATAATAATAATAATAATAATAATAATAACAATAAAAGCTTTTTCATACATATGATGCAGCTCAATTATGTCAGCAGAGGTCACAATTGCAACACTTATAAGAAAATATTAGAAAACATGCTGTATGTTTGGAATACTGTAGTATCTGTTTAACCTCTGAAAGACACTAAATGCATGCAACATTAATATCTTCTCATGAAAAATGATTACAAACAGTGGTAGAATTACCAATATATTGAAAGTAAAGTTACGCCACACTATAAAAATACTCATGCATGCTTTTATAATTTTACACAAGTAGGAGCACAAACGTTTTAGCAGAACTCGTACTAATATTGAATTTAACTATTACTGAAAGGTCAATGACTAACCAGCTAACCTCTTTATACTATACTTAATATTTATGTCAACAATTTAAATGCAGCTGAAAACATATTTATTCAATTTGGCTTATAATGAAAGCAGATAGTATGGTAAGTTTATGTTTAGGGTTTCTTTTTAGTTTTTGTTCTGTTATAACGCCTTGTGCGGAATGCTTTGGCAATACTATGTTTAAAATGTGGTGATCAATAAAGCCCCTTTGTATTGTATTGTATTGTATAGTACTTTTGACATGTAGCCTACCTGTTCTTGTACTGTTGATAGTTACATTCCACCACTTAGCAGAAAGGTTATGTGTAATTAAAGTTGTAATGGTTATTATAAAATGTCTGTAGAGATTACTGCTGCTTTGAGACCTCCCTCTTCCTTCACTTCCCCCAAATGCCTACTACTCCCCACGCCTTGTGGGCAGTGTGTACAGCATAATATAAATAGAATGCAGTCAGCTGTGGAAGTAGAGACAGAGGTGCATCTAGATCATAGATTTATAGATAGATTTATACATCGACTGTATAAATCAAGATCCAGACCAGAGGCGAAGGGAACACAACTGTGTGCAGGCAACATGACCTCGTTAACCTGGAGACTGCTTTGTTTCATTTGCCTCCTGGCGCCTGGAACTGTGGGAACTTCCACACAGTTTGGGTCACGCAGCCGGCAGATCCACTCAATACGTCCTTCAATCCCACGAGTATCCTTGCAGGTCTCTCCAAGAGTCCATCAGCGCTTTGAAGAGATCAAATCTATTGAACCGAGATTTGAAGAAGATCCGATTGCTGAAAGTTTCCTAGAGGTCCAGCAGCCGGGTGCTCAGTCAGCACGAAGGTCCCAGCAGCAGCAGGGGGCCCGGGCCGGGGCCAACAGCTACCTGCAGGAGAGACAGGGAGCAGACAATGGAGGTGGGTTGGTGCTATAGATGTTATGTTTTATCCTGCTGTGCATGCGTGCTATACCCTCACATTTGCTCACCATGCATTTGTCATGTTTTGGACAAATTTGTTCAAATTTGGTGTGAAACCTTTAAACAAACTGACAATACCAGCTAGTATATACATATTATTTAGCACATTTAAAATGCTGTTATGGACTTATAAATAGTGGATTTCTATTAGTCTGTAAGCTCAAATAACTAGTAATCCTTGAATAACCAAGTGGTTTGTTAAACAACAGTTCCTTTTCTAACCATATGAATACAAATAATAAAAAATGCATTACTATCACTTTAACTAAGTTGAAATATTTTCATTTATGCTTGAAGGATATACCAACAATAAATCATTCCATTTCAATTAACAAATGAATAAAGATCATTAGCGACATCAGATACTTTAATGAAGATTTCCTTGTCGTGCCATTATTTATATCTCCCTTTGCTGAGTTTCCGTAAAGCACTTGCAAGACTATCAGTTAGTATTACATTTTGATGGAATTTTTAAGAAGACAGTATTTCAAATTGACATTTTAGGTGATAAGATATTCTAGTATGTTTCTTTACGTTATTTTGTCGTTGGAAAATAATTGTTCCATTCTCGCAAATTAGGAGTTTTAGCACTGTATCTTCAATGCACATACGTTGGAAAATACACGCTTTGACATTTAAAAGCATTTGTTTTCTTTCTTTTTGCAGCAACAAGTTCCAACTGCAAAAATCGTCCTATAGACCTGGTCTTCATTATAGACAGCTCCCGCAGTGTACGCCCTTCTGAGTTTGAAAAGGCCAAGGAGTTCCTGCAACACATGGTGGAGAGCATGGCGATCGGCTCAGATGCCACACGAGTCGGCCTTGTCAATTATGCCAGCACGGTGAAGATCGAGTTTCTTCTGAAGACGTATTTTTCGAAGTCAGCCATGAAGCAGGCACTGGCACAAGTCGAGCCTCTCGCTTCAGGCACCATGACAGGATTAGCCATCAAGACTACCATGGAGAAAGCTTTCACTGTGGAAGCAGGAGCCCGAACTGGCTCCGCGAACATCGCCAAAGTAGCCATTATCGTGACGGATGGGAGGCCCCAGGATAAGGTGGAGGAAATATCAGCCGCAGCTCGGGCATCTGGGATTGAGATCTATGCAGTGGGAGTAGACAGAGCCGATATGATGTCCCTGCGCCTCATGGCTAGCCAGCCACACGATGACCATGTATTCTACGTGGAGACCTATGGTGTCATTGAGAAGCTCACTTTAAAATTTAGGGAAACCTTGTGTGGTAAGGATGATAATGATGGGAGTGCGGATATACCAGTAGATGACCTAATTGATGATTATGGACTAGGTGGCAGGAAAGACGGTAAAGGAAACAAGGGTATGTCAGATCCGTTCTTTAAATTTCACCTGTGATTATATGGGCAGCACCATAGAGGGAATCTCCATTCTAAAGTCAATGGCCTTCTTCTTTAGTCTTACAAACAAGGGCAGTAACTAGGGATTTACCGCCGCTTGTTGTGTTTGGGTTTACAACAAAAGGTTGTTCACTAACAAATGTTGATTATAAGTGTGCAGGCAACATTTAACATGTCCTATTAGTCATGTACTAACTGACTTAAAGAAGAAGACACAGCTCTGAGCACTGGTTGATCGGCCAATTCAGATACAATTCTACAACCTTGAACACTTTTAAAATGGTTGAAACCTGATATGATGCTGCCTATACTTCACATGGAGCGCGGCTGCTATTTGCACTGCATCTTGTGCCTTATGCCATTTGCCCTGCATAGTTTCCTGAAGACATGCTAAGCTACCACAGGTCCACAATTAGGGCTTTTGCTAAATGTGACAGAAAATTAACGGCCACTCATCCTGCAAGGCAGAAACTACACTGAACAAAAATATAAACGCAACACTTTTGTTTTTGCTCCCATTTTTCATGAGATGAACTCAAAGATCTAAAACATTTTCTATTTACACAAAATAACCATTTCTCTCAAATATTGTTCACAAATCTGAAAAAATCTGTGATAGTGAGCACTTCTCCTTTGCCGAGATAATCCATCCCACCTCACAGGTGTGGCATATCAAGATGCTGATTAGACAGCATGATTATTGCACAGGTGTGCCTTAGGCTGGCCACAACAAAAGGCCACTCTGAAACGGGCAGTTTTGCTTTATTGGGGGGGTCTGGGGGGGTCCGAAAACCAGTCAGTATCTGGTGTGAGGGGTAGGGTTAGGGTTAGGGTAATGTTGTGAATTGAGTGGCCCATGGTGGTGGTGGGGTTATGGTATGGGCAGGTGTATGTTATGGATGACGAACACAGGCCACTCGATTCACAACATTACCCTAACTCTAACCCTAACCCTACCCCTAACCCTAATCCTACCCCTCACACCAGATACTGACTGGTTTTTGGACCCCCCCAGACCCCCCCAATAAAGCAAAATTGCGCGTTTCAGAGTGGCCTTTTATTGTGGCCAGCCTAAGGCACACCTGTGCAATAATCATGCTGTCTAATCAGCATCTTGATATGCCACACCTGTGAGGTGGGATGGATTATCTCGGCAAAGGAGAAGTGCTCACTATCACAGATTCACACCCTTACCCTAACTCTACAGATTTGTGAACAATATTTGAGAGAAATGGTTATTTTGTGTAAATAGAAAATGTTTTAGATCTTTGAGTTCATCTCATGAAAAATGGGAGCAAAAACAAAAGTGTTGCATTTATATTTTTGTTCAGTGTAAGTTAGCTTGCGCTACATTTTACTTTGAATGTATTTGAATGGACACATTAATATTTGAGTACATTTCTCAGTCAACCTAAGTTTTCACATTATTTTATCTTTAAATATGCTAATCAAAAAAAGAAGATTAAATATTGTTTAAACAAATAGTTTGACATTTTAGGAAAATACTTTTTATGCAGGGAATATTGATACCACTCATAAATGTAACAGTTCAACATGAGTAGCCGGTTAACATAGCTTAGCATAAACGTTGAGTGACACATTTTGGACTAGGCAAAGAACAGTGATAACATTATTACAAGGACAAAATGTCAGTCTTCTTCTTTTAACTTGTGTCTGTCAGCAAATATTCAGTATATGTTAGCAATGGGACAATATAGTTGTTTTTGAAGCACTCCGGATACCGTAGTATTGATTGAGCAAAAGAGGCATAACGCATTGGCCGAAATGCAAACTCTTTACCCATCAGCTATTGTCTGATGATGATTTAGCTTAAAGTTAGCTTAAAATTTGCTTAAAATTGGCTTGTATACTATACTATACTGGCTACTTTGTCTCTCAACCCCTACAGCTGAAACACGCAGCTCAAGTAAACATAGAAATATCCACAATCTTAGCCCTTAGCCCAGCTCTTTCATCAATTTCCCAACCCACTAGCTAGCATATTACAAAAAATTGATAAAAAATGTCAGCTTTTATTTGTCTCATAACTTTTGGTATCACCCAAACTAGCAAGGTAACGGCTAAGGTTACCTGCTAGGCATGCAAACTTCTCCTTCAACCTGTGGAGTAAGTTCAGCCACCCTATGTGATTTTGTGTTTGCAAGGTTTGAAATGCATGCAAATAAAGATGGTCAGGTGTCTAAAAGTCTAAAGCCAGTAAAACATTGTGGAATTGACAAATGACAACGTCTCTTCCTTTCTTCACAAATAACAGGATTTTACAACAAGAAATTCATATATTATACTTGTATTTTGGAGCACAGAGATCAAGCAAGCTAATCTGCATCTAGCTATGTAGATAACAAAATGCATGATTAATACATACTAACAAATGACTAACAGAGATATAAAGCAAAATGATTGATTTCATAAGCCAATCAGACTTTGGAGTGTTTTTTTTCAGGTTTGGATGCATGTGCTCAGGGAAACAATTGCCAACATCTGTGTGTCAACAATGGCAACTCGTACAACTGCAAGTGTCGCGAGGGCTACGTCTTGAACCCGGACAAGAAAACATGCGCACGTAAGAATCTTTATATCTGTCTTAATGTTTCAGTGTCACAAAATCTCATTGTGTTTTAGCTCTATTTAAAAAAGAAAATGGTAAAATGCTCATATGAGAACTTTGACAGAACCTTGGAATTCTGAGTTATAAGCTTTGTAGCTCCTTTTGGATTTATTACAGTTATCACAGAACTTTTTGCTGTGAACACACTCACTAGAGGTACATACTCTAAAAGTTAATAACGAGTAGTAGATCCTCTTCTCTTCCCAGTCAGAGGGACTGCATATCACAGTTTAGTAGGTTAGCTCCACCAACTTTAGGTGTTTTAAACCTGGAATTAGGCTTGCTGCCAAGGTATGCACTTTAGAGCCAAAAAGAATCAAAATAAGCTGTAAGCAGTTGTATAAACCTCATGGCTGGAAAGTTGACAACTCAGCTTCCATTCCACAGCCACCAACTCTTTCTGACATTAACAATGAACATTAAAGACTTAAGGATCTTATGGAGGACATAGAAAACCTTTAAAACTCGTCAAAAATGTGGTGGTCAAAGCAAAGCGAAAGACAATTTAAAGGGGGATGAGACATGTTTGAAATCGAACTGACTCATGGTACCTCATGTAGTAAGACTTAGTTGTTTAGATTTGGAATAGTCTCTTTTTAGGTTTAGATACATGTGCCCAAGGACATGACTGCAGCAATGATCCTTCATAGCTTTGCAACTGTCGTAGGGAAGATGTGTTGAATGCAGAATAGAAGACATGTTTACGTTAGAAGCTGAATATCTTTCATGCCTCTGTTGTTTGTTCCGATGACTGAAAGTAGCTGGTGAGGCACATGGTACAGTGGGAACCACTTAGCTCGACTAAACAGGAGAAACTTTAGTTTATGTAAACTGTAACAATTATAACTACGAAGCAAAGGCTCTACAATAGCTTTCCTAAATAAGGGTTTTGTGTCAGACGTGGGAGTTTTTCTTTTCAGATATGGATTCATGTTCCCAAAGACATGACTGCGAACACATTTGTGTCAGCACTGATGATTCCTACATCTGCAAATGTGAAATGGGATATATTTTGAATGCAGACCAGAAAACATGTTCACGTAAGCACCTTTTAATTGATTTGGAATATCACATCCACATCTGTAAGCATTAATTGGATAGTAAATGCCTTTTTTCCCTGCATAGAAACATCATTTAACTATGGTTGTTGAGGTACTTTGTACAAACTTGTGATTAATATCACAATTTCTGCTTAGCATTTTCTCATTAAGTTGTTGAGCGCCACCTGAATACCTAAGAGACTTGGGAGACTGATTGATGTAGAAAGAGGAGTGGAGCGTATAACCACATAGTGGAAGAAGCAATTGTCAGACTGAGGTACCAACAGTACTGGCTTTCCTGGACTGATATGATGATTTTTCAGTTATGAGCCATGTGCAAATGGACGTGATTGCCAGCCCATTTGTGAAAACAATGATGAATCGTACATCTGCAAATGTCAAGTGGGATACAAGTTAAATGCAGAACAAAAAACATGCTCACGTAAGAACCTGGCCCTTATGATATGCATGTCTTAGTGCACTTAGAAGAGAACTTGAACAATTGTTTCAATTTGCTTGGTAATTAATAATTGGTTCAAGGTTCAAAGCATTTGGCAACACCATTGTATTGTGTTTCTATTAATGCTGGCTTTTCCTGATAGCATAACCGTTAGCTCCGGAAGTTTCTTTTCAGGTTTCGATACATGTGACCAGGGACATGACTGCCAGCATACTTGTGAGACAAATGGTGATTCATACATTTGCAAGTGTCGTGAGGGATATTTTTTGAATGCAGACCAAAAAACTTGCTCACGTAAGAACCTCATTCTTACCAAATAATGTTATCACATGTCAGGGGGCAGTGTCTTGGATCTACCTTGATGTAGCTGAAACATGCTTGAAGTGTTGGTGTGTCTCTCCAAGTTTGATTTGGACAGAAACTTAAAGTTGAAGCACTGTGCTGTGGACAAATGTACATGAGATATTGTAGATTGTTTCAAATGACTAGGAAGTCAAGTTTGAATACTTTTTGAATGGGCAGAAAGTTTGGAGACTTGAGAAACTGATGCACCCCAAACTGTAAATCGATTGGTGCCACTTTAAAAGCCCCACTATGTACTTGTAGGTGGCTATAATTTAATGAAGTCATTTACAACTTTGAGTGTGTCTTTTCAGGTTCAGATACTTGTACCCAAGGACATGACTGCCAACATATTTGCATTAACAATGGTTCATCGTACATCTGCAAATGTCAAGTGGGATACGTGTTGAATGCAGATCAGAAAACATGCTCACGTAAGAACTTGTGATTTTTGACTTGATATGCATGTCCTTGACTGTGGTCGACTACAACCTTTTTGTTATTATTGTATATGCTTTAGATTAAATGCAGAAAAGGCATACATCTTTTGGCCATGGACTTGATAGATATCTGTTTTAAATGTTGGCCAATTGTAAGCTTTACCCAGGAGGTTTGCTGTTGATGTTAGCTGTGTAGGTGTCTCTTTTCTCATGCTCATGTAGAAAGAGGACCTTGAGATATGTCTGACTTAATTCAGTAACTATGGATTATTACACATTGCATAAATGTAAATGCTTATAAAGTCAGAATAATCCAGAGAAAAATCCAGTGGAACCTGTTTAAAACCTGTTGATCCATCTAAGAGACCACAGCAGACAGTATAAGACTTTGTAAGCTATGTTTGTTAGCTGTTAGCTTTCTTCTCAGGTTCGAATACATGTGCCCAGGGACATGACTGCCAGCATATTTGTGTCAAAAATGGTGATTCTCACCTTTGCACATGTCATGATGGATATGTTTTGAATGGGGACCAGAAAACGTGCTCAAGTAAGAACTTGAATTTAACTTTAACATTTGAAATGCATGTTGTGGTGCTTTGTTTCAATTTTCCCTTATAATCCATTATTTAGGTGCATGACTAAATATTGCAGAAGCCATTGTCTGTAGGGTTGAAATGTAATATATGCTAATGGTGTTTGCCAGAAACCACCACCATTGCTAACCAGTGAAAGAGTTAGGGTAAGGGTTAGGGTTGAATTTCAAGTGCTTGCTCAAGTACAATGTGTCATGTTCCCTTCAAAGTTCTTCTTAGTACATCCGCATCGCAATATTTTATTCATTTGGGTTATTGGCTTTTAGCAGCAAGAGCTAATGAAGCACAGATCAGGTCTAGGGAGATCATCAATTGAAACCATCTTTAGACATAAAGGGTCAACTGTCAAAGGCCTTCTTGAATGATTATCTGAGCTGTCATATCACATGTATGCGATATGTCTCTTTTCAGGTTCTGATCCATGTGCTAATGGTCATGATTGCCAGCACTTATGTGTAAACAGTGATAAGTCATATATCTGCATGTGTCTGGTGGGATATGTCTTGAATCCAGACAAGAAAACATGCTCACGTAAGAACCCCAGACTTAAGTTTTACGAGTTGATGGACTGTCTTAGAGTTTATTATTCTGACCCATCCTAGATTCCATTGCTTTCTAATGGATCCTTGATTAATGTAAATTGAGCCCATTAAGATGTCTAAGTGTTTCATTTTAGGTTCAGACACATGTGCCCAGGGACATGACTGCCAGCATGTTTGTGTCAGCACTGATGACTCGTTTGTCTGCAAGTGTCGAATGGGATATGTGTTGAACGCAGACCAGAAAACATGCTCACGTAAGAACTCTGACCTTTATAAAAGACATGATGTTTTTGCCACAGTGTTTTAGATTTCCCTAGAATGTTATTTTCTACTTTGTACATGGTCAGACACATTTCATATCACCTCTTGTAAGTGTTGATACTTAAAGGGCAGTTAGCTCATTGGGAACAAACTCTTCCCATTGTGGAATTCTAAAGTCAAGACCTTCTTGACTAATGTTCAGCTAAGTAAGATGTGGAAGTGTTTCTTTTCAGGATCAGATACATGTTCCCAGGGACATGATTGCCAACAGATTTGTGTCAACAGTGATGACTCGTTTGTCTGCAAATGTCATGTGGATTATGTATTGAATGCAGACCAGAAAACATGCTCACGATAAGCACCTGATTTGTTTCAATATGCTTATTTGTCTGTGGTGTGATCCAGCATCTCAAATAATCCACAAAACGCCTTGAAGCTTCAAAAACAGGGTTCATCAGAGCTGTTGTGGCAGTTTTCAATTCTTGTAGAATAGAATCAAATTGTGAGAGATGAAACCCTCTTTAATGGTCACACATGCAGAGCACACAGCACACACAGTGAAATGTGTTCTCTGCTGTTAACCCATCCTAGTACCAGGAGTCTAGTACTAGGAGCAGTGGGCAGCTATTGTACAGCGCCCGGGGAGCAATGGGAGTGCATAGGGTTAGAGAGGAAACATGTTAATAATCATTTAAAGTATATACTCACACATATAAGACGTAAAAGAAAATCACAACAGACAATATGCAAATCAATTACAACTGTTTTTCAGTCTCTCATTCCTTAAATCAAGAGCACAGCACACTTATGTCTTATTAACTGTGTTGTTAATGACTGGATCAGTAGAAGTAGTGCTTATCGTTGGACATTGGCTTTAGTTGCAGTCAACTGGCTGGCTTTTCCTGATACATGTGACCAGGGACATGACTGCCAGCATACTTGTGAGACAAATGGTGATTCATACATTTGCAAGTGTCGTGAGGGATATTTGTTGAATGCAGACCAAAAAACTTGCTCACGTAAGAACCTCATTCTTACCAAATAATGTTATCACATGTCAGGGGGCAGTGTCTTGGATCTACCTTGATGTAGCTGAAACATGCTTGAAGTGTTGGTGTGTCTCTCCAAGTTTGATTTGGACAGAAACTTAAAGTTGAAGCACTGTGCTGTGGACAAATGTACATGAGATATTGTAGATTGTTTCAAATGACAAGGAAGTCAAGTTTGAATACTTTTTGAATGGGCAGAAAGTTTGGAGACTTGAGAAACTGATGCACCCCAAACTGTAAATCGATTGGTGCCACTTTAAAAGCCCCACTATGTACTGGTAGGTGGCTATAATTTAATGAAGTCATTTACAACTTTGAGTGTGTCTTTTCAGGTTTAGATACTTGTACCCAAGGACATGACTGCCAACATATTTGCATTAACAATGGTTCATCGTACATCTGCAAATGTCAAGTGAGATACGTGTTGAATGCAGATCAGAAAACATGCTCACGTAAGAACTTGTGATTTTTGACTTGATATGCATGTCCTTGACTGTGGTCCACTACAACCTTTTTGTTATTATTGTATATGCTTTAGATTAAATGCAGAAAAGGCATAAATCTTTTGGCCATGGACTTGATAGATATCTGTTTTAAATGTTGGCCAATTGTAAGCTTTACCCAGGAGGTTTGCTGTTGATGTTAGCTGTGTAGGTGTCTCTTTTCAGGTTCTGATGCATGTACCCAGGGACATGAGTGCCAACATATTTGTTTGAAAAATGGCGATTCTTACTATTGCATGTGTCATGAGGGATATGTGTTGAACGCAGACCAGAACACCTGCTCACGTAAGAACTTGAATTTTAATTTTGAACTGTCTTTGACATGACTTGCATAATAGTAAATCTGCTCATGTAGAAAGAGGACCTTGAGATATGTCTGACTTAATTCAGTAACTATGGATTATTACACATTGCATAAATGCTTATAAAGTCAGAATAATCCAGAGAAAAATCCAGTGGAACCTGTTTAAAACCTGTTGATCCATCTAAGAGACCACAGCAGACAGTGTAAGACTTTGCAAGCTATGTTTGTTAGCTGTTAGCTTTCTTCTCAGTAGTATAGTAGTATTCGTTTATTAGTCCCCAAGGGGAAAATGGGTTGCAGCACATCACAGAGGCATTTCAAAAAGTTAAGACAATACATCACTGACAACAACATAGACACAGATAAAAACAAACAGACATAAGAAAACCAGATATCGGCAGACATGACAAGGGGCCTATAGGCCCTCATTTGCGAAATAGGGGGGACAGGGCCAGACCAGCTGGGTAAACAGTGCGTCCTAGCCATCATTTATTCAGGAGTTTGATGGCTTGTGGGACGAAAGACAGCCTAGATCTGTTCTTTTTGAAATAAGGGGCACGATATCTCCGCCCGGATGGCAACAATTCAAAGTAAGAGGCAAGAGGGTGCCTCAGGTCACTCACAATATTGTGTGCCAGTTTTAAAACTCTGTCCTTATATAAGCATTCTATATTAGCCAATGAGATTCCTGTCAATTTACTGGACAGTGTTATGGCCCTCCTGACTGACTTTTTCTGTGCCTCAGTTGCGTTGCCGAACCAGCATATAATGCCGAATGAGAGCACACTCTCAGGTTCGAATACATGTGCCCAGGGACATGACTGCCAGCATATTTGTGTCAAAAATGGTGATTCTCACCTTTGCACATGTCATGATGGATATGTTTTGAATGGGGACCAGAAAACGTGCTCAAGTAAGAACTTGAATTTAACTTTAACATTTGAAATGCATGTTGTGGTGCTTTGTTTCAATTTCCCCTTATAATCCATTATTTAGGTGCATGACTAAATATTGCAGAAGCCATTGTCTGTAGGGTTGAAATGTAATATATGCTAATGGTGTTTGCCAGAAACCACCACCATTGCTAACCAGTGAAAGAGTTAGGGTAAGGGTTAGGGTTGAATTTCAAGTGCTTGCTCACGTACAATGTGTCATGTTCCCTTCAAAGTTCTTCTTAGTACATCGCAATATTTTATTCATTTGGGTTATTGGCTTTTAGCAGCAAGAGCTAATGAAGCACAGATCAGGTCTAGGGAGATCATCAATTGAAACCATCTTTAGACATAAAGGGTCAACTGTCAAAGGCCTTCTTGAATGATTATCTGAGCTGTCATATCACATGTATGCGATATGTCTCTTTTCAGGTTCTGATCCATGTGCTAATGGTCATGATTGCCAGCACTTATGTGTAAACAGTGATAAGTCATATATCTGCATGTGTCTGGTGGGATATGTCTTGAATCCAGACAAGAAAACATGCTCACGTAAGAAACCCAGACTTAAGTTTTACGAGTTGATGGACTGTCTTAGAGTTTATTATTCTGACCCATCCTAGATTCCATTGGTTTCTAATGGCTCCTTGATTAATGTAAATTGAGCCCATTAAGATGTCTAAGTGTTTCATTTTAGGTTCAGACACATGTGCCCAGGGACATGACTGCCAACATGTTTGTGTCAGCACTGATGACTCGTTTGTCTGCAAGTGTCGAATGGGATATGTGTTGAACGCAGACCAGAAAACATGCTCACGTAAGAACTCTGACCTTTATAAAATACATGATGTTTTTGCCACAGTGTTTTAGATTTCCCTAGAATGTTATTTTCTGCAGTTTTGCAGTTTTCAATTCTTGTAGAATAGAATCAAATTGGGAGGGATGAAACCCTCTTTAATGGTCACACATGCAGAGCACACAGCACACACAGTGAAATGTGTGTTCTGCTTTTAACCCATCCTAGTACCAGGAGTCTAGTACTAGGAGCAATGGGCAGCTATTGTACAGCAATGGGGGTGGGGGGGTTGTCCGGTGCCTTGCTCAAGTGCACCACGGCTATTTGTTTGCAGTTTTAAGGTTAGCTTTTAAAACCCTGAGATATTGAGACTGGGAATGTTGTAAATTATTGGTCACATGGCTGATGCATCCATTTCTTTTGAAGGGAACTGTGACCAAATGATCTTCAAACAGCTAAGTGATTGTTATTGATGTCATAAAACTGAGGTGTGAGCTTCTCTTTTCAGGTTCATCTTCGGATGCATGTCCCCAGGGACACAATTGCCAGCACATTTGTGCCAAAAATGGGAACTCTTACATCTGCAAGTGTCGGGTTGGGTACATCTTGAACATGGATCAGAAAACATGCTCACGTAAGAAACGTTTTCATTTTCCCTAAACATTGGTCCAATACTTCAAGATGATTGACATTATTCCATAGTAGCTCGAAAGACTGTTTCTGCACGACACCACAAACTAACTTCAATGGGAATGTCTCTTTCCAGGTTCAGATGCATGTGCTCAGGGGCATGACTGCCAGCAGATCTGCATCAACAATGGTTCCTCTTACAACTGCAAGTGTGAAGTGGGATACGTAATGAATTCTGACCAGAAAACATGCTCACGTAAGAACCTGGATTCACTGTTGAACATACATAATGCTGTCTGTGTATTTAAACCATTCAACAGATTTCCCATTACTTGGATTAGATCTATTTTGAACAATGTTTCACCCACCTGTCTATTGCCTTGTAAGCTGTCTTGTGTAGCTAGTGTTGAGCTTGGCATGAGAACATTTGCCAATATGGCACCAATACGCCATAAAGTTTGGCGTACCTGGACATAGTTTGGAGTCCCCAGTGTCAACAGCTTGCTGTGGGCTCCTTGAAATCGGTATAAAACCTGAAGGCTTTATTAAAGATGGGTTGGACAATGTGCTTGACTTGACAAGAGCCACCTTGAACTATGCAAGACAATTTAAGGTGAGAGGGTGAGGTTGGAGTCATTTCTTTTTCAATTGCTATACATCCAAAATTGATTTATTTGATATTGTGTCATATTTCAACCCGAATTTGCTCTCCTAAAAGGTCTATAGGCTTGACTATTTTCCCACTAGTATTACTGAAATCGGCCTATCCTTTTGTGGATGCTAGTCTGTGAACACGGACATTTTCTAATTTGGTCTTCACTTGAAAAACATCTACCAATAATGAACAGACCTGGTTAGAGAAATTAGAGGGAAGAAGCAGTCCAATCAGACATTTCTTAAAGTGGTACAACAAACAGCCCTGAGGTGTGGTTATACATTTCACATGTTGGGGAGGTGAACACTGGTGTCTAGCAATTTTGCATCCATGTTCACATTAAGGGTTTAGCTTGTATGGCCATAAGTCTCTAAACCTGTAAACAAACTTACAAAAATCGCTGACAATTTGTGAATGCAGACCCGATATAGAGTCCTTTACAAGCTCTTACCAATCGTCTATGCTCACACATGTACATTTCACTGCACAGCTTGAGGTAGGAAATTGGTCAAGCCTATAGCACTAATAGGGGGCTTTATATGTTTTATTATATTGCATGAACTTGGGTTTAAATAGTTTTTATACATCTTGTGTCTGTCTTTTTACATTCTTTAGCTATGGAGACGTCTGCAGTTGGCTGGAACTAAAACCACTGTCCAACGATAAGCACTACTTCTACTGATCCAGTCATTAACAACACAGTTAATAAGACATAAGTGTGCTGTGCTCTTGATTTAAGGAATGAGAGACTGAAAAACAGTTGTAATTGATTTGCATATTGTCTGTTGTGATTTAAAGTATATACTTTAAATGATTATTAACATGTTTCCTCTCTAACCCTATGCACTCCCAGGTTGTGATTATCTAGATTGAATAAAAATGTTCTTTAAATAATCTCATGCACAAAAGCAAATTCACAAAAGTAAAAACCTTGTTGTTTTAGAGCTCTGGAGTATACCAAAGAAACTTCACTGAACATTGTGAAACACCTCTTGCATGCTTTGACCTTCTCCATATTGTTTTCTCATGCTTTCAGAGGAAATGAGAGGTGAGATAACTCAAGATGCCTGCATGTGTGAAGCTCAGATTTTGTTCCAGAAAAAAGTGCAGTCCACCATTCAGGAGCTGAGCAGAAAACATATCCTTTTGCATGAAAGGCTTTGAAGAATCACATTTTTGAAATTGTGAATATTATGTGAAAGAAAATGCTTTGTGCCTCTTGAAATGTTAGACATTTGCACTAGCTTGAGTTGCTGGCTGCTATAGTCGTTTTGTCTTATTAATACTTTTATTAATGAGTATACATGAGATTTTAATCTATAGTTTAAGTTTTCAAGATTTCAAGTACAATTTTCAATTATATTTCCTTGACAGCCTGTCCACTTGATGAACTTTCAGACAAAGTAACCCTGATTGAGGGCGAGCAGCAGTATTGAGAACAGCGGTGAAGACATGTTCAAGACTAGCAATGAATCCAATAATTTTTAACCTGCAGAAATCCTCTGTAACCCTTACAAAATGTCTTAAGATGCTTTATATTATAAACATTTATTTTGCATTCACAATGCTGTCTGGTTCTACTTCTGTAAAGTATGTCATAACTGGTGTAAATGTTTAAATATCCATGTATATTTTTGAGAAAGCTACAATTCCTCATGGCAGTGTAAGCCAGTGAGTTGAGACTTAAACCAAGATATTTAGGGAAGTAATAGTTTAAAGTTTCCTTTCATTATGAATAGTAGGATGGTGTTTTTTGTTGAAATGTTTAGTGTGGTGTATCAACTCCTCTGAGAAAATGTCTTGGTAGAACAAACTATAATGTTAACACAACAACTAATCTCTCATACAACAAGAGTATTGTTGTTACCCCTCTGATTGCAGCATTATTATACAAAGAATAAATCCTTATCCAATTGGATCGTGGCATTGTTAGATCACATTAAATTACTAAAATACTTTTCGTAGAACCTGAAATGTTGCAACTATTGTGCGGTGTTAATTGGTTATTAGTGTTTTGTTTGTAACAGACAGGATTAATTGTTTAATGGGGAGACGGAACACTGTTCATGGAGTTCAAATGTTTTCTGGCTGCTTCAAAACTTTGCACCCTTGACAAGTTGGCAGTGAGCTGTCCTGGAGATTTAAGTCAAGCTCCATTTCACATCCAACTAAAAGATTAATTCACTGCTCAATTTCTTCATCATAAAAACATGTGAAACAAATTGAAGAGATTATTTGTGTAGCAAGCCACTTTGTGTACATTGACAGTTAGGTATGTTATGGTGTTTTTGTGACAACATGTCTATATAAGTGCCTGCACATGGAAATTAAATATTCTGAAATAATCGACCCCGTAACTCTCTTGTATTGTGTTTTTACTCTTAGTAACCAAGCTTGAAAAAAATCAAGCTTTCTTGGGAGTGACTATGATATATGTATTACAATTTTAAAACAATTAGTCAATATAATAACATGCACCGTTGTATGAAAATGACTTTTTAACGTTTTCATTTGCTAATTTATTTAAATTATGTATGGTGGTCAAGTGAAGACCATGGTCGACCTACTAGGCCACAGTTTTAGCCCACAGTAGGCTATGCTAAAGTAATTACAATACATCCAGGCTAAGCCAAATAAAGTACTGTTGGCTTTTCTTCAAAAACTAAAACATATAGTTCCCGAAGAAACAACAAATGAACAGCTTATTTTAGTAATAGAGTCAAAGAAACGGCTTGTTATTCAGAAGAGGGGTTAAAAACTACAATTACCAGAAAAACTAGGTCAACCTTCTTCCGGTTTACGGTTACCACGGGAGACCGAGGGAAGCTGTAGTCCTCCACACAAGCAATGAGACTTTGAATTTGAATCGTTTATTTAATGAATATGCGTTCGTTATAAACTACAGCAGTAGTCGGTCTTTAAGGTTGTGAGGCTACATTTAACGTTAGCCGTCTTTGGTAGTAGGTATGCTAACTCTGTCGCGTTTGACAGGAGATAACTAGCAAAGCTAACGGTATATGCTAACGTTACATCGACTACATCGAGGCCTCATGATGTAGCATAGCTAGGTTAAAATAAGTGAACTAACTTTAGCAGTCAGGCATTGTTAGTGTTCTAATATAACTACGCCGTGAGCAATTAGCAGAGGTCTGTTATCAACCTGCCATGTTTATCTACCTCAGCAAGAAGGTGAGTCTCTCCAAGCCTCCTGTGCTCTGCAGACTATTGTACTTTACAACAATTAGTGTATCAATTAATACAAAGGCTTTGGTTAACAGCGTGGCTTTTTCCGTGTTTATAGATTGCTATCCCCAACAATATCCATCTGAAATGTGTCTCCTGGAACAAAGATCAAGGCTTCATTGCCTGTGGAGGAGACGATGGTCTCCTCAGGGTGCTTAAGCTTGAGAGTCAGACAGGTAAATTACGCTTGCTAACAGTCCTGCTAATTGTTATAATACTTAACTATGTATATTTTCGAACGTTAAATTCATTTTTTTAGGCGAAAATGGCAGAGAATGTTGCTTTTAGTCTCTTATGTTATTGTCCTGCATTCTTCTGTGAATATCTTTGGTTTTTGGACTAACAAAACAATACATTCAAAACACTTTGGACTGGTATGGACAATTTTCACTATTTTTAAGCATTTTATAGGCCCAAAAATTAATCAAGAAAAAATAAGCAGATTAATAAATAAATTAAACACTTGATAGTAAATTCCATCCTTCATTTCCATACCTTAACTGGGCTAATACATTAGCAAATAAACCGTTTTTTTGCATCGAAAGTACAATTTTAATCCTAAAGGAAATGTACAAAAATAACAAACACACAGGCTTCTATAAACAATTGACATGTGAAATGCTTTACAGTTTATGGGATGTGCTGGATTAAAAAGATAAATAAAATCTAGCCAAATTGACTTTGGTTACTGCCAATTATGTCACTAGATAAAATCCCTTTTCTATTTTCAATGATTGGTAAGACTTGATGTTGTATTTATAGTAATGAGCATAATATTAATAAATAGATAGATATATTCTAGCCCAAGGCCAAGATTCAAGATGTTTCATTTTTTTTTTGGTGCAATTTATAGGTCTAGGACAGGGGTGTCAAACTCAATTTCATCGCGGGCCACATCAGCATTATGGTTGCACTCAAAGGGCCGGTTGTAACTTTCAATCTCAATCTTTATTTATTTATATAGCACATTTAAAACCACCTCAGTTGACTAAAGTGCTGTACAGGGAACAAATATAAAATAACACAATAGGAGTAAAATAATAAAACAATAATTAAAAACAAGATAAAAAGCACAATAACTAGAAACATATAAAACACATACAAATATCAAAATTGTATGTTCAACTAGTATTAAAAGCCAGTGCAAAACTTTAAGACTATATATAAATATTTAATATATATAAAATAATGTATTATATTACATTATTGCCTCTGCATTGGATTATTATCTGATACGGTAATAACTTCATAATTAACTAAGTCTGAAAGCAGAAGTCTAGGGCAAATAATTGCAAGTCTCTTCAGTGCGTCACAAAATGAGATGCATTGTGGGACATGTAGTTAGCGGCATTCAATCGTATAATAAACATGTTATATTGTTTGCAAGCTCTAGCGGGCCACATCAAATGAAGTCGCGGGCCGCATATGGCCCACGGGCCTTGAGTTTGACAAAAGGATCAAATAAAAGTTGTCTGGTAAAAAACTGATAGATCATTTCCCCAACATTCTGCTTTGTGTGAACGTTCTCAGAGTCAAGGCAATCATGTTATACTCATGTGATTGAGATTTGAACAGCATGTAATACATCTTTTGAAAATGTAATCCACTGTTCTGGTGGTAAAATAGGTGCCACCTTGTCCACTCCGTCTGTGAGTCAGATGATGTTGTTCAAAGCCACTTACAATAAAGAGAAAAAAGTATTTAAACTCTTTGCTGGAATTTAGCTAGAGACTACTTATCCAATGCTGTAGTTCTGGTTTTTAAACAGTTATTTTCAACAACTCCTTCACTGAGAATCATTATTTTTCTGATCTCTCTTTCTGCTTCCTGAACAGATGATGCCAAACTTAAAGGTCTTGCTGCACCCTCTAATCTGTCCATGAACCAGACTCTAGACGGACACAGTGGTAAGTGATATTCAGTTGTCGCCAAACATACAAATTATCGCATTATAAAATAACAACCATTGTTAGGAGGTGCAAGGCTACGGAAGAGGATTAGGGCCTCGTGTGCATTTTTTTTGTGATTATAGCAAAAGGTAATTTATTTGTAGTCATGAGAAAAATGTCATAATTCCAATTTCTTTCTCAGAATGTTCTCTTTTTTTGTGCAGGCGCAGTACAAGTGGTCACGTGGAACGAACAGTATGAAAAGCTGACAACCAGTGACCAGAATGGGCTCATTATTGTATGGATGCTCTACAAAGGTGATTACTACAATAAGATAAAAAGTGCATGTTGTCATGTAATAAATGTGGCTTTTAAAGAGGTCCATCTTGGCCTTTCCCAAAGGTGCGTGGTACGAGGAGATGATCAACAACCGGAACAAGTCGGTGGTGAGGAGCATGAGCTGGAACGCTGACGGTCAGAAGATCTGCATTGTGTATGAAGATGGAGCGGTCATTGTTGGATCAGTAGATGGTAAAAACAGATGTTTAGCTAAAAATCGAACAAACAGTCATCAATCATGAACATTTTCCAAACAGATTTAGCCTCAAATCCATTAGGCGCCCATGACAAGGTTTGCTTTGTTCACATACTGAGGGAATGAGTGCCATTAAGTGCATTAGGATGAATGCGTTTTGTTGTTGTAGGAAACCGGATTTGGGGAAAGGAGCTAAAGGGAAATCAGCTTGCTCATGTGGCATGGTCCCCAGACAGCAAGATCCTCCTGTTCGGCATGGCCAACGGGGAAGTGCAGATCTATGACAATCAAGGAAACTTCATAGTGAGTGCATGAGCTTAAGTAAATAAGACATTTTAGCATTAACCCATGTAGAAGTACCTGGCTTCCTGACTCATAGGATGCTAATTTTCTGACCATAAATCCAGGAACATATCTGCATGTTTAGGAAGAGTCTACTAGCATACAGTATCAGAGGGCTATTTTTTGTTGTGTCCTTGCATTATCCTAAATGCTTCTTACAATTTTAAAACCTAGAAATATCCTTAATTATAGTCATGGTAGCATTTCTTTAAATGTATTTTCTTTGGCGTTGTGTGCCAGAAGATGTCATCAACTAGCATTTTATCCAGTTTTATGCCACTTTTTTCAGATAATGTTGATCTTAGCTATATATTTCAACTGGATGAAAAACTCTTGTCATAGAATGCCCAAGTTAACAGAGAAAACGCTGAGCAAAGTTAGCAGTTAGCTTGGAGCTATCATCCTATATCCGCTGAACTAAATTGGAAAAACACAAATATTTAACGTGAGACTGCTTTATTCTGGGTTTTAATGAATTGAGTAATTTGTTTCGGGAAGGCGAAGATCTCTTATAAATAATTGAGGGAATCCTTACCGAGTGAAACTACAACAAAAACTCCTCTGATCCAGCTCTACTTCACTACACCACCAAACTTTGCCTTTGTTATTGTTTTTATTGAGAAACCAATAGTGGCAGAACATTACATATTGTGCTTCAAAGTTTATATTAAAGGAAATGATCCTAATAAAGTTCCATAAAATGTTGTTTAAAGCCCCTTAGTGTAGGACTTTGTCTAAGGGACTCCTAGTTATATCAAAAAGACTTGATCTGCATAGCACACCACAAACTCCATTGCTTGCTTCTAACTACATGTGCTTGGTGTATCTGCATAAAATGAATATAAAATAATAATTTGACATTATGATTCAGGTGAAAATGACCATCAGCTGCCTCAGCAATGCGACCGGAGCGATCAGTATAGCAGGTATCCACTGGTATTCAGGCACCGGGGGATACGTTGAACCCGACTGTCCCTGTCTCGCCATCTGTTTTGACAATGGGAGATGCCAGATCATGCGCTACGAGAACGATGAAAGTAAGGGAAACAAAAACCCTCAAAGACTGCAGTATATTCTCCGGCTTACACTTGAATGAAATGTTTACCAATGGTGATGAGTCTCTTCTCCTCAGACCCCGTGTGTATTGACACCTTGATGAATGTGGTCAGTATCCAGTGGAATCATTGTGGCAGTGTGCTGGCAGTGGCGGGTTCTCTCAGAGCCGCAAATCAGGACAAAGAGTTCAATGTTGTGCAGTTCTACACCCCGTTTGGAGAGGTGAGGGTGATCACTCTGTTCCCTTACTGACACCTTACAGAGTTTAATACATGACATATGCAGTACGAATACAATGCAATGTCATTTACATACAGTTCATGAATTCCAAATACTAGTGACAGTTCTTCGTTCATTGATATTGTAATTCCTTGCATTAACCGTAACCCCAAGACTGGAAGATGTAAAAAATGCGGGTTTTTTTGTTGAGATTTTTCTTTTTTGAACAGCATCTAAGAACCCTCAAAGTGCCGGGGAAGCAGATGACGGGAGTTGGCTGGGAGGGAGGAGGGCTGCGGATCGGCCTGGCTGTGGACTCCTACATCTACTTTGCCAACATTAGACCAGACTACAAGGTACATGGCAACACTTTCGGCTTGCTTTTTATTCATTTTTTCTAAACTCATTATATTATGGTAAAAAACGTTCTCATCGACCACGAGAACTTATAATAAAATACCTAATCTGGCCATTTGCACAGCATTTATCAAGTCAGATAAGGTGACCGTGTTTTCAATATTTTGGTGTCTAATCGACTAATGTCATTGTTTGGGACATTCTCCAACTTCAATATACGTCCATTTTGAATGTCACTATTTTCCACAAATAGTGACATTCACAAATACAGACAGTGACAATAATGAAGTGACACATGCTCAAGTCAATGAAGTATTCATATGTAAATTACAGGCTCAGATTCTAAATGTCGGAAAACATTATTGAAAGGAACATACAGCGAAACTAAATGTTTTTCTTTGCCTTTTGCTTAATACTGTCTGTTAGTAGGTCTTCAAGAAGTCTCAAAGACTTTGACTATCTTCTGGCAAATAAGTTACATGACAAACAGATTGGATCAAGCGAAAGTTTACGTCACCTTTTATTCCTCTGTAGGGTAGGGTATTATTGTCTGACACATATAATAACAAGCTGAGCCTTTCTGTGGCCAAACAGCTCCTTTATTAGACATACATTGACCATTGATTTTCTCTTTTTACATGGAGAGTGTATGTCCAATAAAACATTACTGCAACAACAACACCCTGTCACAAAGCTTTTTCTATTCTCATTGAAAAGGACCATGCGGTGTATTCTTTTTTTTTTTATAAATGGGGTGAAATGTGTCATAGTAGAGTGTTAATATGTAATCAGTTGGCCTATAAAGCATTATGATTATTCTCTATCGTCTGTTAAAGCTACGGTTTGGCATTGATAGTATAACGCCATGCTTCCACATTTTGAATAAGAAGTACAGGTTATTACTTCACTTCCTGAAAAACAAATACATGGGGGAAATGATTACTGCTAATGACAGGGTTGTTTGAAGGAACGTTTCTCGTGTTTGATCATATCTCTTTCCTATTTCTCACTTCTTCACCTGGATGCCTCTTACAGTGGGGCTACTGTTGCAGCACAGTGGTGTACGCCTACACAAAGCCAGAGCGGCAGGAGTACTGTGTGGTGTTCTGGGACACCAAAAACAACGAGAAGTTTGTCAAATATGTCAAGAGCTTGATGTCCATCACAACTTCCGGGGACTTCTGCATCCTGGCCAGCAAAGCGGATGACACCCAGCCTCAGGTAAAGACCGGAGAGTAAAAAATGTAAAATAAATTACTTTGAATGAGCCATAAAACATTTCAGGTTGGTAAATACACTAGTAGCATGCTGTATTACTCAGAGCCTATCCATTGTCTTGCTTCCTGTTTTCTGATTCGCTGCCACACAGGAGGATGCTGAGTTAGAGTCTGGGAGTCATGCCAGGGTAATGTACAAATAAAACACACTCAAAGAAGTAGTATTTGTTTTGGTAAAGAATTATGTAGAATAACGTCAAAATACTTTGTCTTTCAGTACGTCCTGATTCTGTGCAACTCCATTGGGACTCCACTGGACTCCAAATACATCGACATTGGTGAGTTCCTATCTAATGTCTAATGTCTGTTATGTTAATGCTTCATAACAATAATAATAACATTTAAAAAGCATATTTATAATGTCTTGTAAGGTAAAGTATCTAATACATTATAACTGCTGTTCACTCATTGGCTCTTTGTTTCCAATGACGATAATGTATTATAATTCCCATAGTTGTCTTACATTATATTATATTTCCATACTTCATTATAATTACTAGAACAATTCATTTGTATGTGTCAACAAATAAATAAACGAAAACTAAGAGAAAGCATAATGAATACTTATGAGTACAAAACTCTATAATTATACAGTGCTATAAGCAGATTAAAGTATCTAGAGATTATAGAAAGTGACATTTGAATATTGATATCAACAAGATCATTTGTTGCCGTGGTCTCTTAATTCTTTTCAACATCATAAAAATGTGAGTCTTTTGTTATATTTGTCCATCTTAGTCAGGAGCTATATAGGCGTGCATGCAGTGTCCTGACAGAAGGGACTCATACTCATCTTCTGATGGGACGACAGAGGTTTGATCAAAGTCCTTATTTACCATAAGGCTGGTGTATTGCTTCAATGTGAGACATCACACCCAGCGTATAGAGAGAAGGTGCTTGGCGTTCTTCCACCTGCCGCCCACAGATACGTTTTTCATGGGCCAGTATCCTATAGCAAACAGACAGTTAGCATCTTTACGGCTTCAAAATATTTAGCATTCTGTCTCTGCTTTACGAGGCCGAATGTTTGTTGAGAAGCGACGGCCAAGAGCGTTCAGAGTCTGCAGATTTGAACGGCTCAGTGGGTCTGAGTGGGTTTCAGACGGTGACTTCAAGTGACTTCTGGAGATTTCTCCTCATTTGCCCTCATGATGGATAGTCAAAGGGAATCTGCAGGCTTTATCCACACAGAAAAGTAAAGAGTTGTTCCTCTTTAAAAAGTTAAAGATTTACATTGATTTATTTTAAAGCAGTTTGGTACAAGTAACTGCAAGAGAATTCATTTTATTTTTTAACCTTGCAAGTTATTATTAATATTATGATTTTCTTTTTATTATTATTTATGTATTCTTTTGATGTATAATTATTGTTTTTAAAATATGCTTATTTCTATTATTTCCACATTTATTCTTCTAATATATTGTAGTATTATGTAAACCATTTTACATATACTTATGTCTATATTTCTAATATTCTTTTCTTAGTTTTTTTCTTTATATAAATATTTATATTTTCATCCCAGAATGCGATCAACTTTTCCCAGGGTTGTCAATAAAGTATTATTGATTCTGAAATAAAATGTGAATACCTAATTGCTAATTATTTATATACAATGAAATCAAATGGTTTGACAAAAACAAAAAATCCTGTTAATTGATTCCTACATATTATATATATCTAACTATATGTGTCTCCTGTCTCCTGTCTCCTGTCTCCTCGGTCAGATCCACTATTCGTCACTATGACCAAGACTCATGTGATCGCTGCATCCAAAGAGGCGTTCTACCTGTGGCAGTACAGAGTGGCAAAGAAACTGACCGCGCTGGAGATCAACCAGGTGACCAGAACCAAGAAGGAGGGGAGAGAGAGGTGAGCTGTTTCCTGACATTTACTATTCAACGGAGCTCAGTCTAAGCCTGATGTAATAAGATGATTATTTAATAAAACCAGGAAGTGGATAGGCACAAAATAGATCGCCCATGTCTAAGTTTCACCATCAAGTTTATTTGACCCCGATCCCAATCCAAGTCATTTAATACTGAGCATCTACCGTTATCTATTTCCTGTGTAAAACTAGATTTTTCCTGATAGTTTTACAGAGCACACTTTAAGTGCTTTAGACTAATACAATTAATCAACATTTATACTTGATAATCGAAAGAAGCCTGCATCCAAGCTGTTTTTATTTATTGATTCAACAACGTTTCAAATGAATAATATTAGTATCTGATCATATTTCAGATTCAGAATACTCACCAACAACACTCACCATCCACAGTGGCAGTCTTAATAAAAGTGCTGAGTGGTTTGTTCTTCCACTGGCTTGGGCTCATTCAAATATCTGATGTATTAAAAAAATATATATATACTATATAATAAAATGAAGTGATGGTGTTGGTGGCAGAATATCCTAAGAAGGATCCTTGAGGCTTGGAAAGGGGGGCTCAAGTTTAAGTCAAGCTGCGCGTGTGTGTGTGTGTGTGTGTGTGTGTGTGTGTGTGTGTGTGTGTGTGTGTGTGTGTGTGTGTGTGTGTGTGTGTGTGTGTGTGTGTGTGTGTGTGTGTGTGTGTGTGTGTGTGTGTGTGTGTGTGTGTGTGTGTGTGTGTGTGTGTGTGTGTGTGTGTGTGTGTGTGTGTGTGTGTGGATATTTAGGATGTACATTTTGATATTCTTATCACAATTCAACTAAGTGCAGAATCGGTTCACAAGGTTCTTTTTTAAATAAATAACACAATTATGCAATCATTGTACCACCACACCAAAGTCCATTCCCAAATGTAACTTGAAAATCACTTCAAATATTTATTGGTCATTTTTTTTAAATGTTATTGTTAATGAGATTCATTTTTCAATATCCAGTCTTCGCATCAACATAAATAAGATCACTGCCAGTGCTTCCTAAATGATCATATTACCATTTCACATGTCTGGCAAAGGGTTTGCTCCACATAACAGGCTAGACATCTTTCAGTAGAAGAAACAATGGCACAACAGCATCACTCAATAAGTAATGGCCCCGATACTAGTTTATCTGGACGCTCGTACCAACATTATAACATACAGTACTCAAAATGCAGATTGTGGAAAGTTACAGGGAGGCAAGATAACCACAAGGTCTGTGAATCAGTGGATGACACCTTGGGTTTATTGGCTCAGTGTTTCCGTGTAGGGTTGTGACCTTTGATTCAGATGAATGTAAAGGATTCATTCATCTGAATCAAATGCCTCTGAGGTTCCAGGCGGCCTGGGTGGGACATGGTGTTCTGCCAGAGCTATGCTAGCACCTGGACAGCAGTTCACCTCGGTGCACAGGGCAACAGTTTGTCTGTCTGTCTGACTCGTCATCCTCATTTGTTCTCACTCTCTGTCTTCTCCAGGGTTTACCACATTGACAGCAATCCTTCAGGAGCCAATGAGGGCAGTCCAGACTTGGCAAAAGCTTTCACAGTAAGGAAGATTACATTTTTCCAGTTGCACAGGTTTTGTTAAATTCTAACGTTAATCTCGGAATTCTGACTTTTTTCCACATAATTCGGACTTTAATCTCAGAACTCAACATTGTTTTTTACTTTTGGTCATTTCCAAAAAAGAATTATGCATGTGGAAACTAATCCTCTTCCGTACATTGGAAATGTTACATTTTGGGATAAAATACATTTGCGTTTTGTTTCAGGCAACTCGCGATCCCATTTGTTCTATTACAGCAACAGATAAGACTCTGATTGTGGTATGTACATATCTGTTTTGATTATACACATTTTTTATCATTCAATGAAAATAAATGAAAATGAGTGTGTTTGTGTGTACGTTTACAGGGCCGTGAGTCTGGCACCATCCACAGATACAGCCTCCCAAATGTTGTTCTGCTCCACAAATACACTCTGAACAACAGAGCCTACTACCTGTCTTTGAACTGCAACTCCAGGCAAGCCTTGAACGTTTTTACGCAGATTCAACTTGTTGCTCTTCATATCTATTATTAACCAGCTCGGCACACTCAAATCTGAAAGCTGTTGAATGTTTTATAAAGTTGTAATCATTATTTTCTCCAGTCGTCTGGCCATAATCGACATTGCAGGCGTTCTGACTCTGTTGGACCTGGATGTTCGGACCTCTGGGGACGACGGCACGGGGAACCAGGCGTCCGCAGGAGACCCGTCCAAGTTTGAGCGTAAGGATGTTTGGGACATGAAGTGGGCGAAGGATAACCCTGACCTGTTTGCCATGATGGAGAAGACCAGGATGTACGTCTTCAGAAATCTAGACCCAGAGGTGAGTGCTAAGATGTTTGTGTGATAGTCAGCTGCATGGCCTTATTGTTACTTAAAGGGGCCCTATTCCGCTCATTTGCAGGTTCTTATTTGTACTTTGTGTCTCTAATGTGACATGTCTCCATGCTTTAATGTTCAAAAAGCTCTTTGTTTTTCTCATACTGCCTGTGCTGCAGCACCTCTTTTCACCCTCTGTCTGAAACCAGAACCCAGTCTGCTCTGATTGGTTAGCTGGCTCTGTTGTGATTGGTCAACCGTTTAGACATGTCCTGTCTCTTAGCCTATCACGTACAATGTGTTGGAGCGCTAGCCATAGAAGCGCAAGTGTTACATAGTGATGTCACTATGTTATGGATGTAAACACAGGGATTTTCTCCTTTGCAGACCATTTACATGCAACATCCTATATAACACACTACAGGAGAGGGAGAACCCCCACCAGCATAATAGAGCCTTTTTAATAAACATTTAGCAACTTTTACCTTCATGTATTTTATTTCTAACTCAAAACAGGAACCCATCCAAACGTCTGGATACATCTGCAACTTTGAAGACCTGGAGATCAAATCGGTCCTGCTGGATGAAATTATGAAGGTGAATATAATCAAATTTCAAGATATGTTTTCTCATTGTATGTGAGTTTCTTCTCTTTTTTGCCTCATAAAGAAGGTGTTTTTTAAATAGTTTTCCTTACTGATTTTCATTAAATTGCTTTGTTCTGGGATTTTGTTCCACAGGATCCAGAGAGACCAAACAAAGACAACCTCATCAACTTTGAAATCCGCTCCCTGAGGGACAGTCGTGCCTTGATAGAGAAAGTCGGGATAGAAGATGCCTCGCAGTTCATTGAAGACAATCCTCACCCAAGAGTCTGGTAAATGAACTGAATTGAATTTCATAATTCTTTCATCCCTTTTCAATCATGCAAACTCAACAGGAAAGTGGTCTGTCTCGAAGCACACGGGACATTTCAGTTCATGTATGAGCAGCACTGCAAAGTGTGGAAGGGTTAGGTGAGGACAAATATAATAATATAAGTAGATTAAAAGGTTTAGTTATAAACACATTCTGAATTTAAAAAATAACAAAATAAGTTTGCGCCCAAAATGGATGAGTTTTGATTATCTGATGTCTCCCATAAAAAAGGCAGGATATAGGATAGGGTAGTTTTAATGGACACTCCTGATGTGTGTAGGGGTGTGTGTTGCCATGCAGAAACCTGGGGTCCTTTAAATGTAATTTGAATCTAAACATGGAAAAAGTGATAAGAAGTAACAACATTCATTGACTCTTAAAATCTATTCCTCAATTGTCTGCACAAAAGACATTTGAACTTTGTTGTCAGGTCATATAATCTGTGCTGCTGTGGGAGGATTAATGCAGAGTATAGGAGATGTATGGTAAGTCTTTTTAAGCAGCTGTGTGACTCTGGAGCTCATGTGTTTTCTCTGGCTAGTGTGTCAATTCTTGCATCTTCCCTCAAACTCTGGCCACATCAAATAAAATGGGAGTTGGTTGAGTCATTTCCAGTCTGTGACTTAAACGTATAGTTCAAATGTTTGGAAGTAGGGTTATATGAGGTACTTGTCCATACATGGTACGCCCAAAGGTTTGGAGAAACAGACAGGATCACCAGCACTGAGGCTAGACAGTGAACTGCTTCGGGACAGGGGGTGCAGCAAAACTTGTTTTATCCACCTCAATATACAGCTTCAGTGCACGCTGTATTAGGAAAAGCTTGGCCTCTTGTTTTGAGACGGCCCTTTAAACTGCCCTTGTCAAATGCACCAGTCCACTTTTATTTGAACCTATAAAATCACAGTGGTGCTGGTCTACCGCTGCTTAGATTGGTTCATTTATTGGAGTAATTGTGTAACTTTAGTTAGTTCAAATTCACCAAAGTCACACAATAAATTAACCAATAGAGACAGTGATTGGCCAGCTCTATGTTCTGCAAGGTAAAGTACTATTGGTCAATGGCTGGTGTCTTAGCAGGAGCAGATAAGAGTGTTAACGGCATTAACATGAGCTGATATTGTTTTATGTGCAAATCAGTTCATTCCTTATCTTCTGTTCCTAAACTCCTGTCTGTTACACCAAACTGGGGGCCTGTCCTGTATATACTAGCTATGGATCCACACCTCATACAACCCCATCTGAACTATCCCTTTAAGGAGTACTCCTCTTATTGAGTTACAACCATAGAATCCTATTGATACACTTTCATTGATTACAGACAAACACATAGATTTAGATTCACGATGAACCTCTCCACCCTCCCTGTGATGAACCTTCCAGGCGTCTTCTGGCAGAGGCGGCCCTCCAGAAGCTGGATCTGAAGACGGCTGAGCAGGCCTTTGTGCGCTGCAAAGACTTCCAGGGCATCGAGTTCGTCAAACGGCTGGGCAACCTGCAGAGCGAGCCCATGAAACAGGCCGAGGTGGCCGCCTACTTCAGCAGGTTCGAGGAAGCCGAGCGCATGTATCTGGATATGGATCGCAGGTACCTTTTTCTTTTGTATTTTCCCTCTTTATTGGCAACATAGCAGCTTTGCAAGCCGTTCATTGCATCATACAAAATACAGAAGTGTGCTTGATGTTCATTTTTTTACACTCCTCTTCCCTGAAAAAATAAAATATATACAAAACAACAGTAAAAAAAGACAATGAAATGAAGAGTAAAACACCACATAAAACCGAAATTAATAATAATTAAATGAATAAATAACAGTACAGACAAACTAATTATAACAAACAATAACTGTCTTTTCAAACTTACTTTCCAAAATACATCTTGACATGAACTAAATGCACGTAAAAATGTAGAGGTACGTGTTAGTCACAGGCTAGCTGTCTATAACGGCTCTATATCCTATTTGATTTTAAAAGAATACACAGTCGTTGAGTTTTAATTTATGTTAGAAATAGTTGCCATGTCCTTTTTAAATGTACCCGTGGAACCACCCATGGCACTTATTCATTTAGTTATTTTTTGTGCTTTCTTATAAAATGTCACAAAACCTGTTTCACCGGAGCTTTATGTTTGATCGCTGGTGTTTCCTGTCCGTAGGGACCTTGCGATCAGCCTGAGGATGAAGCTGGGGGACTGGTTCCGGGTGCTCCAGCTGCTCAAATCGGGCTCCGGGGACTGTGACGACGCTCTGCTGGAGCAGGCGTACAATGCTATCGGGGACTACTTTGCTGACAGACAGAAGTGGTATTTAAATGACGTTTTCCCTTTGTTTTTCTTGTCGTTTAATGTATTAGTGGATTTAGCACAGAAGCAGTGAATACACGTCATAGGTATGATTTCATATTCTTAAGGGCTGCATTTTGATAAATGTTGAGATTTACATCATTTATCCCAATTCATCTTTTCTCAAGCTTCTTTGGACTGATTCTAAACATCTAAACTCTGTCAAGTTCATTACATTGCAGGATTCTAAAATTGTGATTGCGATTTATACTCGGTTAATTCTGCTGCATCAAACGCTTTAATGTTTTGTCAACTTATATTTGCGTCACATTCTTCTATGTCTACGGCCTGATGCATATTCCTGGCTGTGGTTAATCCTGAGTTTAAGAACGTAGGACTTGGAAAACTAAACAGGGATAACTCAAAATAAAAAAAAGTCACATATTAGTTATTATTATTATTTTATTTCTGCAGATAGAGACAAATGCTAGCTTACCTGTTTGCTTGATATATTGTGAGAAATGATCAAACCACAGAAAATGCTATCTTGAAAGGCATTTCCAGAACAAGCACACAGCATTTGCTGCTTCTCGTTTATCATGTTAAGGGAAAAACAGCAATAGACCTTAGGCATATATCTTTACAAACAAACAGGTTTATATGGCATAACTATATATAAAACTTTATAAGCTGTGTTATCAAATATGTGTTGCGGCTCCAGATAAAACTTGAGAGGGCAAAATGGCTCTTTCGATAGTAAAGGTTGCTCAATCGATACAAATTGATACATTGGTACCTACCTTAACCAATGAGGTTATTTCTTCCTTACCCGAGTCCACTTTAAGTGATGATGGGATGCATTCTGACCATCAGCTGAAGATAATAGTCATAGTGAGATCAAGTGGGTATATTACCAAGGTACAGTCATTTGAGTGCAATATTCCATGCCAAGCTGTTAAGGATTAAACAAAAAGAGTGGATTTTTTACAAAACGCCTCTAAACTCCTTAATAATATATCAATGGCGTTTTCCAACTTCAAAATACTGAACCCTCATATATGCTTTTTCTAAACACAAGTTGGCATTCGTGCACAGTTCTGTCCCTCATCACGTTTGTAACAGCATTCCCCACAGCAAGGGTGTACAGTTATAGTAACTAAGGCAACCTACATCCCTTTCAGTTTAGTTATAGCCATGTGAGTATTGTTTTTGGACAAAGGAAACATTGCCTCAATATAAATCATTTTTTATTTCAAGGGTCAACGCGGTGCAGTACTACCTTCAAGGTCGTAACCAGGAGAGGCTGGCAGAGTGCTACTACATGCTGGAGGACTATCAGGGCCTAGAGAAGCTGAGCACTCTGCTGCCAGAGAACCACAAGCTATTACCCGTGAGCCAAAAACATTCAAATCCGACCCGAAATAACTCTTTGATATCTTCTTTATTACCTGCAATTGTCCACACATCAATGGCTCCTTTATTATCCCCATGTGTGTGTTTCAGGAAACCGGACAGATGTTTGCCACTGTGGGCATGTGTGAGCAGGCTGTGAAGGCTTACCTGAAGTGCAGCCAGCCCAAAGCTGCCGTGGACACCTGCGTCCATCTGAACCAGGTGAGAGACGGACAGAAATCCTGCGGCGCCGCGGTTTCTAAGGGACAGCGTGAACACATCGAGCATTCCCGGCGCGGCGTCACACTTGCTTTGTACCGCAACAGTCGCCGTGGCACCCGCTGTCCTCCCTCTGCCATCCTCTCCCCCAGAGATATTTAGCCAGGAAGTGTGAACGCTGCTCTCTAGCTTTGCTCTTCCAATGTCAAGTTTCACACTTGACTCAAGATGGATGTTTCACCGTCCTCTGCTCAGGTTTTGACCCTGCCTCGCTCCGGGATCCCAATGATGTGTTTTATTGACTGGGTCGTTACACTCACATTGATTGAAGAAATGATCGTATTGCTCGCGTTTAGAATAAGTAGTCCCTTCCACTGCATACCAACTCTACACATAATAAATAAACTAAATAAATATTAAAAACGTTTTCCACTTTGTTTTCTGACAGAGGAAAACTAATGGGGTTTCAATTGACCGGACTTCTTTCTGCGGATTGATATGAGTGCACATAGACCCTTGATCAGATCATCGTCCTTAGCAACGTTATGCGAGAGAAAAAGAGCAGAGTGCAGAATATTGAAAATGGACCAATCACCATTGAGTTATGTTTAATTTGGGCTGTATTTGACCCTTTTTCAAGAAGAAGGTGACGTTAGTAGCAGTCCTTACCATCTCTACTGCTGTGTTAATGCTGTGTTTTGGGAAATGAAATGAATAGGCTGTTATTTTTCCTATTTCATTGACTTTCCTGTTCCGGTTTAACCCCTAGAAATCCTGAAACATAGTGGGTTTTCATACCAAGGGTCATTGTAAGGAAGGTTTGAGAAAGGGAAGCCAGAGAGTGATTTTTATTTCCAAAAAGATTTGAATGAAAGCCAGAATCTAGTATGTGTTGCATTTACATCACTGACTTCTATACTTTAGCTAAAAGGAAAAAGTAATGGTTTCTGGATTTAGTTTTAAATGATTGTTTCATTTTCTTACAGTGGAACGAAGCAGTGGAACTGGCCAGGACTCACAACATGAAGGAGATCAAATCTCTTCTCTCCAAGTACGCTTCACATCTTCTGGAGAAGAGTAAAACTTTAGAGGTGGTGGAGCTCTATCGGAAAGCCCACTATTTTCTCGATGCAGCCAAACTCATGTTTAAGGTAGGCTCATGTTTGAAGCTACTTTTAAGTAAAGATGTATTTTTACAGACCCTGAAACTGTATGACACATAGATCACCATTGTCTGTGCCTTTTCTGGGATATTTTCCCTTCACACTAACATAGTAACTGTTGGACATTGTCAGTGTGTTACCATGGAAACATAGAATGTTGAGAGTAACTGTTTACAACATTTTTCTTGTTAAACCTTAAGCTGTGTAAATAAACGACACACACGTTGTCTAGTCTTAAGACGGAAGTCTGTTTTCTCACAAATTCTACAATATTATATTTATATAGATACTAAATAAATGTATATATTAGGGCTGTCAGTCGATTAAAATATTTAATCGCGATTAATCGCATGATTGTCCATAGTTAATCGCGATTAATCGCAAATTAATCGCACATTTTTTATCTGTTCTAAATGTACCTTAGAGGAATATTTTTCAAGTTTTTAATACTCTTATCAACATATGAGTGGACAAATATGCTTTATGCTAATGTTTATTATCATTTGAACAATGACAAATATTCCCATGAATATTAAACACAACAACTTCTGAACATTATAAATATTCGCCTCAATTCAACCTGGAACCTAATACAATACAAATTGTGTGTGTGTGTGTGTGGTGTGTGTGTGTGTGTGTGTGGTGTGTGTGTGTGTGGTGTGTGTGTGTGTGTGTGTGTGGTGTGTGTGTGTGTGTGTGTGTGTGTGTGTGTGGTGTGTGTGTGTGTGTGTGGTGTGTGTGTGTGTGTGTGTGTGTGTGTGTGTGTGTGTGTGTGTGTGTGTGTGTGTGTGTGTGTGTGTGTGTGTGTGTGTGTGTGTGTGTGTGTGTGTGTGTGTGTGTGTGTGTGTGTGTGTGTGTGTGTGTGTGTGTGTGTGTGTGTGTGTGTGTGTGTGTGTGTGTGTGTGTGATGGATCGTTGGCGCTATGTGCAACTCAAGGCATATGCTCGAATGGGAGCTGCCTGGACGCTGCAATCATGTTGCACTATCCGTGCTGAGTGTGCTGACTTTTCGTACAATGTCCCACTGTCTGGCTTCCTGCATAAAGTCAAGTGCTCGGCGCAGTTGTCGGCGAAATGTCGCTCCTCTGTTTTCATGTAAACAGCTCCTTATATCCGTTAGCGCAGCAAGCTAGCACCAGATGCTAACAACAACAATGCACGGAAGGTCTCTCTCTCGCTCGCTCGGGCCACACATACACACACCCTCCCGGTCCTCCCAATAGCCAGTCGGTGCCTGCCGGTGAGCGTGGAAGTGTGGTCTGCCACAAGCGGGCGGCAGGAGCGAGGCTGTCAGCATCAGCTTGTAGATGGTATTTTAAACTCGATGCGCTCTGAAACTACGGGGCGGCCGAGGAAAAAAAATACACATGCGTTAATCGCGTTAAAATAATTAGTGGCGTTAATTTTTTTTTGCGTTAACGCGTTATTAACGCGTTAACTTGACAGCCCTAATATATATATACTTTTAGTTTAAGTATGCGGTTTCTACATTACTATAAAAATAATAATAATTAAACTAAATGTAGCTTAAATTACCTTGTGTTTTCAGCTTCCGTCAGCACCTTTAGATTAGTATTTTAAGGCCACGTTTGACCTTTTGGCAAGAAGATACCAGCAGCTGTGTTTTGCATGTATATTTAGCTAATCAATTTGATTTCATCTGACCAGAGGTGGGAGAAGTACTCAGATCTTGTAATTGAGTACAAGTAAAAGTACCAGAGTGTACTCTGTCACAAGTAACGGTTTTGCATTCAGAATGTTACTCAAGTAAAAGTACACAAAAGTACACAAGTATGAGTGTCAAAATATAAATAAATATATAAAATATAAAGTACCAAAAGTGAAGTACTCATTCTCCAGGTTTGCCCATTTCAGAATAATATATATATGATGTGTTTTGTAATGATTGATCATGAAAGTGTTCTCAAAGCTGGTAAAGGTGCAGCTAGTTTGAATGACTTTGTATTCTGCAGGGTAGCTGGTGGATTTACTCCAGGTGGAACTAAAGTCTGATTTAACACTTGATTATATTTCACATCAGTAATCCAAATCTGTAAAGGAACTAAATGTACAAAATAAATGTAGTGAAGTAAAAGTACTCGATTTACCTCTGAATTGTAGTGAAGTAGAAGTACAAAGTAGAATAAAATGTATCTCAAAAGTTGACTTAAGTACAGTACTTGAGTAAATCTACTTAGTTACTTCCCAGCTCTGAATCTGACTGTTGCTCCCCTCACAGATAGCAGACGAGGAGGCGAAGAAAGGGACGCGCCCCCTGCGGGTGAAGAAGCTCTACGTGCTCGCAGCGCATCTCGTAGAGAGTTACCACGAGCAGGTGAAGACGTCCCAGCAGAGCAAAGCCAAAGGGAAGAAGTCTGAGGTCATCTATCACTACTAACACATATATTCTAGAAATTGATATGTTGTCTATTTTTCTCCTAATGAAAGATTTAAAAAACTGTATTTAGGCAACAACTGCACTTGCCGGGCTGCTTGAGGAAGATGCCTCCTCTTCAGATAATCGTATCGTGGACAATGCGTGGCGCGGAGCCGAGGCCTACCACTTCTTCCTGCTCGCTCAGAGGCAGCTCTACGACGGCTACCTGCCCAACGCCATGACCACAGGTACCAAAATAATATCATGTAATCACACAATAACAAGACGTGTTCATTGAGCTATTATTTAGTTTGCATAGTGCATTTTCTCCTTTTAGAATTTGAGTAAGAATCTGATTGGCTTTGATTATAAACACAAAGTCATACATTTTTTCTCCTCATACCATTTGTTTTCAGTGGAACGATGTATCTTTTCTCGAGTTGTGTACTTATATAATCCCAAATGATTCCAAAATTGTAATCACCTGTAATAGTGTTGTATCGCCATTGAGCTTGTGTGCTGTCATAAAAAAACCTTTTATCCAATGCTATGGCACATTTTGACCATACAGATAAAGATATGTAGTCATCAGGTATCAGAGAATGGATCAGAGAAACCAACTGAGCAAACCTAAGTGGCATTCCTTACAATGTCTAATAAACACTTTACGTATAAAATATGAAGTCTTTTTACCAGCTTTATTCAACATTTGTTTTGGAGAAGAGCAGCCCTATACGAATAAATCGGCCATCGGTAAAACAGTTCTTAACTCCTGGTTCTAAAGTAATCAGAGAAAAAGATTGGCAACAAATGTGTTGCAACTCTGCTCGCAGCCCCTCCAAGATTTCTTTAAAACAGAAAGAGAGACTTTTATGAATCCCTGATTGTAAATTCAGGGTTCGCTCTGGTGTTATTTACATACACACATAGTTGATATACACGTGCACAAACATGCAGTAACGGAGAGATGGCAGAGCGAAGGGCTGTCGACTGGCACCAGGGACCAGTTAGGCGCCTTGCTCAAGGGCGCCTGGGCATGGCCCAGGAGGTGAACTGGTATTCGAGTGTGATCAGGATTAGAGCCGGGGAAGTTCCCTAGCCAAGTCCCTACAGACGAAGCTACTGCCCCCCCCCCCCCCATTGGTTCATCATAATAAAGTCAGGGTTTTGCCAGTTTGAATCACTGTTGTGTTTGATTTGGAGAGGAGGAGAACCCTGCCAATGATTTTCAGCTCACTCCAAAGATCACAGTGACTACTTCTTCCTCCTTGGTTACTGTTTGGATTTTAGAGACCCCTGGTGGCATAGCGCTGCACAATTTGGACAAAATGTCTAATTGTGATTATTTTGACTGATTTTGCAATACCAATATGACTACGATACTGGAGGGTTTTTCTATCATAATTCTTGTAAGCATTGAATTAATAAACATTAAATGATTAAAGTGTAATTATAGAGCATCTGCACCTAACAAATAATGTTGTTACGTCTGTAGAATAATGTGTAGGCCGGGCCATCTCTGCAGCTCTACAACACTTCATTCAACTGCCATTTGAATGTTGCACTTGTTAAACTTTGGGAATTGCTTACATATAACAGATATAACCTGTAATATGATTGTAAGTTGAATCTCTGTTTCTCTGTGTTGGAAGCCCTTCACCTGCGTGAGTATGAGGACATCATCCCGGCGGTGGAGATCTACTCGCTGCTGGCCATTTGCTGCACGGCCAACCGGAGCTTCGGACAGTGCTCGCAGGCCTTCATCAAGCTGGAGTCCCTGGAGAGCCTGGGCCCCGTGCAGCGGCAGCAGTACGAGGACCTGGCCCTGGAGATCTTCACCAAGCACAACAGCAGCGGGGCGGAGCTGTTCCCGTCCTCCGAGGGGTGAGGGGCCGAGGCCACAGCAGCGTCTGACTGAGCAGCTTCCTACAGTGCAGGGCTGCATCATAACATCAGATTTAAAATACTGTAGCTGCAACTCAGAAATATTCTAATAATATAATCATTTTTGGTTTATTATATCTAGTAGTGCACATTCATAATTTAAACTTCCTATTGTTTATATGAATATTTTAATAATGTTCTTCTTTGTTTATTATGTATTAGTGCACATTGTTATTATAATTTCTCAGGTTTATATTATATATATATATATACGGTATATATGAGTTCTATTACATTTTTATTTTTTGCGGACATTTAACTTTTATTCTGTTTTGTTTTATAATGTATGCACATTCTTACTCTAGCTTCTTTTATTTATATAAACATTTATTTTATTTTGATTGGACATTTTCCATTTACTTCTTATATTAATATACATATTCTCATTGTATTTTATAATTCATTTTGATTTTATTGCACATTCTTACTCTAGCTTCTTTTATATATATACATATCTTAAATCTATTTTATAATTATTTTATTTACATTGTCCAATTTTTATTAGACATTTGACTTTAACTTCTAATGTTTTTTTATTTTCTCTTTATTTGCAGACTTAATTGAACCTCTTTCTAATTTATTTTTGAAAGATATTTGACTATAGCTTCTTCTAATTATAGAGATCTTTGTATAAATGAGTTGCTCTCTAGAGTGAAACACTATTCATATTAGGGCTGCACGATATTGTAAAAAACTGACATTGCGATATTTTCTTCCCCTGCGATATATATATTGCGATATGAAAACATACAGGAATTGAAGAAAAGGCAGTTTTTTTCCCCGCAAACCATCCTTTCTTCAACATTAATGCTATACAATTGGTATTTTATTAACGATATTTAACCGGATGAAGGATTTTAGTCACGGACGTCTGGATCTTAAGTTATCAGAGCAACAAGCTGAGCTAGCTCGGTTAGCAGCGCCGAACTGCCCTGGAGAAACACATGAAACCACTTTATTCAGTGTTTTTACCTTTAATCACCGGGTCAGTTTGCTTTGGAGATTTGATTGTGATTGGTGGTTTGCTGTCACTCACTCAAGTACCCCTGACATGAGAGTTTTCCTTTTGTAGCAAGCAGCAAAAGAATTGTAACATGACGTCTGTTCATTAGGGTTAGCAATACTTGAGCATTACATTTCTTACAGGTTACATTTCAAGCACCTTTTAATACCACTATTTCCCTCAAAAGACACGTCTATGCATCATCATGTTCCACATTGAGCTTACTCGAGGTTAATAGAGGCATAATAGCTTGTTTTGGATAAGCTACAGTTAAAAAGGGTTGTAGTGCATTTGCTTACATGCAGTGAAATGGAGACGTCTCTGAGACAGAAGAAGCCAAGGACCATATTCAGGATTGCCAAAAATATACCTATGAATAATTAAGAGCCTAAATACAACCACTTTGGCCTTTGCACATTACAATGATCTGCCGTTAAACAACAAAGTTGGACAATCCCTAAAAGCACTTTAGAGCTGTTTGACTTCCTTGAGCATTTTTACGGACTTCTCTTTGCCTTACATCACAGTATTTCCTGACTCATGCTATTCTTTTCCTCTTTCAGGGCAGATGGAAAATTACCCACCTGCATTGTGACGGGGCTCCCGATCCAGGAGTACCAGTTCTGGATGTGCAGTGTGTGTAAACACTGCGCTCAAGGGCAGGAGATCACCAAGTATAACTGCTGCCCCCTGTGTCACAGTGCTACAGCGTGAAGCTCCAACTGAGGAGCAAAATGTGTTTTATGTTAAGTGAGCTTCACTACATCTTTTAGAATCCACTCAGATGTATTTCTTCTATCTTAAATTATGTAAAATACTTAAATGAACAAACCTACATTGTTTACTTTTTTATACGAAAGTACTGCGAATAAACTGTCACATTCATACAACTCAAAATGTTCCTTGGATTTCATTTTGCTCACCTTTTTTACGTCATGTTGCGTTCTTGATCACTGTACATGATGATGTAAAGGTTGTAATGCAAAGGACAAAACACTTTCAAACCAGTGAAACTAACTAGTCCAATTGGAAACTAGTTAAGACCACTAGTTTCACTACTTTAAGTGGGATATGCCCTTCATTCTTCAGAGGTCAGTATGGTAGATAATGAGCACATGGTTTAAAAGGAAAAGCCATTTGCCAGTGTGCAAGTTTTTAGTCTTATATTGCTTTTTGAGACTAAAATGATTTCCTGAATTTAAATGCTTTTTAAAAGATTTGACCCGGACATTGATTGCATGGTAATTATAAGGGATGCTCTGATTTATTGACCTATATCCTATTGTTGACGGCCATCAGCCTATCGGCAAAGAAGGTGACATTCAGCGATGGCAGTGGCCAATTTGTATCTGTTGTCTTGCATTCATTTTGTCCTGGCTGTGACGCAAAAGGGCAACAGGTGTTTAGGTTTCACAACAATAATTGCTTTTTTGCACTATGTAAGTACTGAACATATCTTCTCACTCAGCAAGTAGTTGTATAGCAGGCTAAAAGGGCTGTGTAGCAATGCTTTTTTCGAAACAGTAAAAAAAAGTATATTTTTCATATGGAAGAAGGTACAAAAAAAGTTGTTTCAGAATGAATTTCAAAATAGTTCTAAAGGTCCGATTTACTTTAAAACAGTCCAATTATGATTTCTTAGCGTGAAGATGAATTGTTTTAACTAGCACAAAAGGGGTACAAACGTCTACATAGACAAAATGTTCATAAAATCAGGGAAAATGACTGCATGGCTCCATCAGTGTGAACTGCACTGAAGTGGCTCTTTCTGTTAGGTATCATGATGTCAGGGACCCATGGTGATCTGCCTCTGATAGAATCTCCTTCTGCCATCTACTGTCAGCAAACGGCATTAGTGAGTAGCAGGCCGAGACTTCATAAAGCAGTACTTATTTAAGGTTGAATTATTCTCATCTGACTCCGTCCTCTGTTCAACTAAATTTAAGATGATTTCCTTTATTTGGAGTGCCTCGCAGAAGGGGATCTTATTGTTGACATACAGTATAATAATGTAATAAATACTCAATCTTGTGTGGGCCCCAATGATTTTTTAAATGACACTGGCGTTACTGTTTTATCCCTAGCATTTGAAATGTTACGACAAATGTTTTATGGGGGGTTTTCTTATTAGTTTGAGCAATTTTTTTACATTTTACATATTAAAATGAATTATCTGACAAATGGTGAAGGCCATGAAGACGTGCTAACAAAAGTGGAAACAAGTGCTAAACAGTGCTAAAAAAGTTCTTAACAGTGCACAAGTGATCCATTGACTATTACTCTGTGGGGATTGTTTCTTTTGCACATAAGATTTGCAAACATCGAATGTACTACCTCGGATGTTAACTAATAGTTTTACTTTTATTTTACAAAAAAGTGTCACGTTTTTTAAGACAAAATGTCACAGCACAGCAAAGCCCAAATGACCTAGAAACTATTCACAACAAAATGAAAAAAAAAGAGGTAGCCCTCAAAGAATGAAGTGAGCACTCGGCCAAAATAATCATAAAATATTAACAGTGATAAATGTGGCACACCTTAAATGAGCAGACGCGCCCTGGATTCCGGTAGTACATGACACATTAAAGTTTAAAGTAGTGTAAAACAGCCTGATAGTGAGGAATAATGTGCCAGCTGTGATCGATGTCCCGTTTCCGCTCTGCGCTGTACTCTCCACCACAACACGGCGGAGAACAACACGGTCACACCGGACTCCAAGTGAAGCAGCCGCAGGACAGCATCGGAACTCAGGTGAGATGCTGTTATATTTCCTCCAGTTTTAAGTTTGTGCAGAGATGTTAAACACTTTAAATAACTCCCTTGTTTAACCGTTGACATTATTTGTATTTACTTGTGCACCGTTTTTTGATTATTTTGTGCGTAAAATCCAATTTCCTTGAATTTCTTTCCGGTTTTCTTTCACTTTACTATTTTACTTTTCATGTCTCTCCGTTGATTTTTTTTCTAGAGTCTATAAACTACTTTTAATGCTGCAGAAACGCCAAATCTGACCTTGGTTTGCCATTTCCCTGTAATTTGAAGCTATCGTTCGTAACACAATACAAAAGTGATACTGGCTTCAGGGCTGCAAGCAGGAATGACAGCTGGTATTGATAACTGTTGACCGGATACCAATTTGACGTTATGTAAGATGTTGACGTAGTTATGTTCAAATATGGTCAACACTAGTGTATTCTGAGCCATTGGTAGAGAAAAAAAAACATATAATTGAGCTCACCAATTGTTATGTTAAGTTATAGTCTATGCATTTTACACAACTAACGTAAAAATTTGAATAAATGTTGATCATTGCTTGCAAAAAAGTTTCATATAAAGTCATGCTACTTAAGTGTAACTAGTGTATTTCATTTTTTGGAAACTTTTAATCTTTTGTAACTCAAATGCCAAGTGATGTTTAACCTTCCATTACAGGGTGCAACAGAAACCCAGATGCAACTTGATGCTTGACGCTCTGCTGTAATACATCAATGTGATCAAATGACATCGAAGAAAGTGTAAGGTTCTCTAGTTACACTGTCTTCGTCTGCCGGCAGCTAAGCCCCTGAGATTGTCACCGAGAATAGTCGACTGCCACCTAAAATCTTGGTCAGGATGTACGGACAAATCCTTCATCCGCACAGCCCCGATGATTGCTTTATTAATGTCAATGTTGGTGGTTTCAAACAGCGAATGAAGCACGGCGTTCTGAATCGATTCCCACAGACACGTTTGGGTCGCCTCCTGTGTTGCAGCACCAAAGAAGCAGTCCTGGAGCTCTGCGATGACTTCACTCCCTCGGAAATGGAGTACTACTTTGACCGCAATCCGCGTTTCTTCTGCTACGTTATCAACTTTTACCTCACAGGCAAAATCCATCTGGTGGAAGGGTTGTGCGTGGTGTCGTTCGTCCAAGAGATTGAGTATTGGGGCATCAAGGAGCGCCACCTGGACTACTGCTGCAGCAACAAATTCTATGAACTGATGCAGCTTGCTGAAGATAAGAGCTGGGATCAGAGAAGTGATGAGTTGCAAAGTTCAGGCTCATCTATTGAGGAGCTGTCAGTTTTGAAGGATGACATAGAAATGTTTGAAGGCTCCTGGTGTGCTGATGTTCGCAGGAATATCTGGATTCGACTTGAGGATCCAGCCTACTCTACTTCAGCCAAAGTGATGGCTGTAGCATCCCTGAGTGCGGTCATTGTCTCAATTGTTGCCATGTGCGTCCACAGCATGCCGGACTTCAATCAAGTGGATCACAATGAGAGGGAGATTGAAAACCCCATTCTGAATTTCTTTGAGAACCTCTGTGTTCTGTTCTTCTCTGGAGAGTTTCTTCTTCGTCTGGCTGTTGCACCGTCAGCCAGGAAGTTCTTGTGCAGCCCTCTCAATATCATCGACCTAATGTCAATTATGCCCTTCTATTTCACTTTAGCTTGTGATTTACTGGCTGATAGTGAGAACACAGACCTCGAGAATGTTGGAAAAGTGGTGCAGATCTTTAGGTTGATGCGAGTGTTTCGCATCCTAAAACTGGCTCGCCACTCATCGGGCCTTCGCTCTCTCGGCGCTACACTGCGAAACAGCTCCAGTGAAGTAGGGCAGCTGGTGCTTTTCTTGTCTGTGGGCATTTCAATGTTTTCTGCTCTCATTTACTATGTGGAGAATGAATCTCAAGAGTCAGAGCTGCAGACTATGCCTATTGGCTGGTGGTGGGCCACCATTAGCATGACTACAGTGGGCTACGGGGACACTTTCCCTGTTACACCAGCTGGGAAGCTGGTAGGATCCGTGTGCATCCTCTGTGGGCTGCTGATCGTGGCTCTGCCCATTACCAACATCTTCAATAAATTCTCCAAGTTCTATGAGAGGCAAAAACTGATAGAAGCTAAAGCTGAACCCTCTACAGCAAGTACAGGAGTGTTACCAAGCAGTGAGTCTTAAGTTGGGTCTGTGGCACTCAGTCAGGGGTCCGTTAATACGTTTGGCCAAGGAAAAGAGATTAGCAGAGGGATTTTACTGTGATAAATGGCTTAGAATTCAAAGGTCAAGCAAGTGTTTTTCTTGTGTAGTGGCAAATATCTTCATGGACAAAGGACGTTTTTGACATTTTGGGATTTTTGCTTAATCATTTTCTTGTTTTCAGTTAAATAAAAAGATTGATACAACATTTGAACTTCCCAACCATGTACAGTAAATAAGAGATGACATTTTTTATTAGGCCAACCCGGGAGATTAGCATCACACTAGTTCCCTCCCTGAAAAAACATTGGAATTTTCCATTGAATTTTTGCAATATTGTGAGCTCTCTAACAAAGTTAATGAAACGTACACGTGCTGTTCAGCCTGATAATCTTCACAAATGACACCACAGTCACATGACATTGTGTCATTGCTTTTAAGCCTAATGTGAGCTATAGTGTTCAGTGTGCTGAGGTTTAAAAGCCATATTTAGCACTTGATAGAAAAAAAGGGTGGGAGGGGGGGTTATTGATTCAAGGTATTTCTATTGTAGGAAAAAACTGTAAAATACCTTAAGCTTGTATTAAAACTACAGAGTTTATTTCAGGCATAACATTTAAAAAAAATGTACAGTCTCGTCAAAGGAACTGATCTGAAAAAATGTAACTGGCACCACTAGCCTGTCACCCTATTTTAAGCCTAATAAGATTAGAAACAGGTGAAAATGGCTGAAGCTTTGTCCAAACGTAAGAAATCTCAACCCAGTCTCACAAAAAAACGTGTAATAACTACGTTGGTCCACAACTTGGGACGTAGTATTTCTATAAAAACGCCTCTGAAATTGTAAGATCCCTACGGTTTTTTTCACCATTCATTTCCAATGGCTGGCGTCTATGTCAAGTGATCTTCAAATGTCTCCCTGCAGAAAAAAAAACATGGCCGACATTCGTTTTATTCTCGGTGGTAAATGCCTATTTTAAGGTTAGTTTGGCCATTCAAATGCGTTTTGATGTCATTTGATGCGAGAAATATGAGTTGTTATTTCAGATTATGTGTGCAGTGGATGTACATGATCTTTAGTTTGCTAGTTATTACGAAGATTACTTCAGGAAATTGTGTCCATTCAACGTTTTCATTGTTACCAAGGTGGTTGCTTGGGACGCTGCTATCGATATTATTTCTGTTATGTTGCGTAACTGTTTAATGGTGTTATCTTTATTGCTACCCCCTTCCCCGTCAATGTATAGTGTTGGTCCACAGCGCAAACATATTAGTGTAACAAAATCCGCATCTAAAATTGTGGCATAGATATGTTATTTTTGAACAGCACTTGAAATGGGATGGAACCACGGCAGACTGTCCAAAACTGGATTTGAACGGGTCCACATAGTATTAAACTGTGTACATCCCTGGAGGTTAAGGGGATAGAAACACTCAAATTTAAAACATATAATTAATAAATGGGTGAAAATAGCTTATGCCCATAATGGGCAGCATTAATATATACCCACATGCCAGCTAAGGTCAGAAGAGCTTTATTTAACAGCTGGTCTTATGTCTGTGACCCCTCCTGTTGTTAATTGATGAGCCTGAAACATGCACTTGTCAAGGTTCAGAGGCACATTTTGCAAATCTGGCAGTAGCCATCGATCATCTTAAGATAAGATATACTTTATTGATCCCAAGTTGGAAACATTTGCGTTACATCAGCATGTGTAACAGTTGTAAATATGCAGTGGTGTTTATTTGTAAATCATTTAGTATAATCACACAAATTCTGTGTTTTATATAATTCTATGTTCTTTATTTATTGAATGTTCAATACCTGACAAGGTCGGAGATGAAAAACTTGGGTCGCAGGTTCCTCAACAGTGCATTACAAGTGTACCTGTGTATACCTCCACCATTAAACTGTCCTATTCTGCACATTTCTTATACTATCTACATACATCTTATAAGAGTATAATGTATAATATCAGTTAAAATAAGTGCTTCAACATAGTTAACATAGGTATACACACATATTGATAGATGTGTTGTAATGCACTGTTGAGGAACCTGCGACCCAAGTTTTTCATTCATTGCATAACTACACCGTAGTTGTGTAGGCCTATATGATATGTCAATAAACCTTAGAAAATCTTGAAATCTTGAAAGGGATGTGCAAAATAGTCATTATATACAGTCTTTAATTAACTATTAGTAGAGAATAACGAGTAATGAATATACTTTATAGGGATCCTATTAATATCTAATAATAAAATAATGAAATTCAATAACATGCTTTAACCACTAGGTGTCCCTTTATATCAGCTGTGCACCTTTATGGTGTAAATACAGCCTATCTACCAATTGGATCAAATATAAAAGTCAGCCGAATTAGTGTTGATACTGCAAGGAGACGTATTGTGTGAAAAGAAATGTAAGATGCTGTTTAATGGCTGATATATTTATGATCCATCTAGAGAACTACGGCAGATATGTAATATTTAATGCAGCCGAACCGTGTATTACAATGCCGTTATGTGATGACTTTCAAAGAGAAAAGCAAGCACACTCGGAATAAAGTATTATTTTATTTTGAAAAAATGTTTTCGGTCTGTTTCCGGTATTTGTTTATGACGATATGGTGTGAGATGTGAGATGTGAGACTGGGTTGGAGAATTGCACAGGGGGAAATAACGTTTCTATGACACAATTTTAGATGCAGATTTTGTTAAACTAATACGTTTGCGCTGTGGACCAACACTATACATTGACGGGGAAGGGGGTAGCAATAAATATAACACCATTAAACAGTTACACAACATAACAGAAATAATATCGATAGCAGCGTCCCTAGCAACCACCTTGGTAACAATGAAAATGTTGTATGGACACAACTTCCTGAAGTAATCTTCGTAATAACTAGCAAACTAAAGATCATGTACATCCACTGCACACATAATCTGAAATAACAACTCATATTTCTCGCATCAAATGACATCAAAACGCATTTGAATGGCCAAACTAACCTTAAAATAGGCATTTACCACCGAGAATATAACAAATGTCGTCCATGTTTTTTTTTTCTGCAGGGAGAAATTTGAAGATCACGTGACATAGCCATTGGAAATGAATGGTGAAAAAAAACGTAAGGATCTTACAATTTCATAGGCGTTTTTGTAGAAATGCTACGTCCCAAGTTGTGGACCAACGTAGTTACTACACGTTTTTTTGTGAGACTGGGTTGGAAATCCAACTACCAGCATATTTCTTGGCCAGCGGACACTCCAGGTAGTAACTGGCCCTTGCCAGGAAATAGTCTGGCATATTTCCCCTGTTAATCAGCACAATAGATCAGATTAATAAAATATATTAAGTTCAAATAAATAAAATACATGTCAGTTAGTAAACTTTATAGGTTAATGTGGCTAAATATTTTTGCCGGATGCTGGCTGAGCATAGCAAAGCTAACAGGGTGCTAGCTCCAGCTATGCACAGTTATTGTCAGAAAGGGGAGTTGTATCAATCTAATCATCTGACATAGTCTTAGTCTGTTACAATTTGATAATGCATTTAATGGCTTTAAACTTTGCATTGCATTTGGGTTAAATTGTCCATACTCTCAAATAGTCTATGTCACATTCTTGTATTTACGGCGAGTTTACAAAACTCTGATTGTGTGCGCACCAAAAAGACATGATGCAGCATTCTGTAGTTGTTCAAGTCCTTTGTCCATAAATGCCTGTCTCCATTTCAGTTCTCATCTGCTATTGATCCACGTGTCTTTTTCTTGTCTCTGTTGTATTTAGTTTTAATTGCATAATTGCATAATCCAACAAGAGGCTTCTCTTTTGCTGAGTCATCAGTGTAATTAGTCCTTAATCAATGTATACGTCAATAAAAATCCTTTCAAGTTGCTGAATTCACAATTCATCCCATGATGAGCATTGAAAAAAATAAAAAGGTCAATAAAGTTATGTGCTTGGGTTTGTATTTCTTCTGTGTAGCTGTTATATTTCACATTTTTGTTGAATGCATGGTGCTGTGGTCTGATGCGCTGCTTTTTGCCGCAGTTACCTTCATCGGCATCACATATGGATCTGTGTTTTATCTGATGCCTCTTCCACAGATAAGAATGTGTCAGTCAATAAAAACAGACCAAATATACAAGTTGCCCTCCACAGTGTCAACACTTTAGAAACCTTCATCTCAATCCAACTGATCTTTAGTGAGATTATCTCTACTGCCCGCTGATGATTACAAAATGATAATGTTTTGCAGCTGTCAGAAAATTGATAAGTAGCTTCAGCCCTTTTGAAAACATCCTGTCAGCACTCAGGGGTACGTCACCTTGTAAGCCTCGGTACCTCCTCCTCCGTCCTTCTTTCAGGCACAAAGTCAAACAGTATTGCACTCTGATTTAGTTCATTGCTTCATTCTTTATAAGTGAACGTCTCCGTCAGCAATATCCGTGGTCAAGGACAGCCAGGTGTCTTCTACACGGGAACACATAGAAAGTGTGCTGTTAGAAGCCTAGGGACACCCACCCCCCAATATTTCACTTACCCTTCCCTACTATGATTTTTAACCACTCTACATTTGTTGTCAATTGCATATAGCATGTAAAGAAATGTAGATTAAAAAGTAAAAGAATGGCAATAAAAAATATGTAATAACTCAAAGTATATCTTGTTTTATTAAGGTCACAGTATAGTATTTTGAAAAACATAATTAGAGAAGTCGAAGAAAAAAAGTGATAGTGTAGTCATATTATAGTAGCTATGGCATAAATGTCGATAACAAAATCACAATAAATAAACCATTCAAAAGTCCTGAAGAAACAAATCTTAGCACAGTATGTCATGAAAAGTATTTGCATCATATATCATAGTTTGTTATTCAAAAATCATTTTAAAAGTATGTTAATACAACTCTGAACAATTTCACAGTATAGTATTCCCTAAATATATCATGGGAAAGACTTCCCAAGTGTTTGA